ATGGGAATGTGGAAGTGTGAGTAAAGCCGCATGCCACCGAACAATCAGCCTTTTCACTGTGTAATTCAAAGTGTGCAAAGCACCCAGGGCCACAAACCGAGAATTTGTAGTTTGGCAGGTGGCCTTCGTGGCCAAGCGAAGCTGGAATTCTCGGAGTAGGCTTTCGGGAAGAAATTCCTGTCGTCAAGGGGTTAATTCTTACCGAGTGATTTGGTCATCAAATGTTGCTTTACTGAATGTTTAACCAACCTTTGTCACAGAAAGCCAATTGTAGCACACCTACACCCACATTTCATTCAATTGATGGATGTATTGTAATCCCACTCCATTCTGTCACATACTGTCAGCAGAACCAGGTTAAGTTGGAAAAAACTTCCTCAAATGAAGAAGCACCACAAAATGAAATTGCTGAGAATGTAGTGAAGCCCAAATTGCAGTGGTCTTTTAACACCTTCACAGATCATAATTTACCGAGATCTGTCTGTTTCAGTAAAGGGTTTCTACCGGTAAGGTCAGCATTGCTTTTAGAATTAGTGATCATTTGACAGATTTAAGGAGTTACAATGAAGTGGTTAAAATGTAATGACAGCTTGTATCTGTAAAACCACTGGTATGCCTGTTGTCTTTCTTCCTGGTTTCCAACATTGTGATGCAGTGTGTGACTTGCTTCAGCTTAACCACTTCCTGCCGGGCCCAATTATCCATGGTGGGCCTGGAGATTTTTCCTTTTTTGTTTTCAAAATTCTTTAAAAATTCATAACTTCATTTACTAGACGTTTACACCCACACAAATGACTGCCTGGTGGCTACTGTAGTCTGACAGACAACATCTCTTGATGCCCAAGCATTTCAGCCAGGCTTGCGGCCTTGTAAAAAGAGCCCAGATTGTGCGGTGTCATGTAATTTTCTTTTGTTCCCGAAACCGGCACAAAGTGCTGCGTACGTCTTTTCAATAGGGGCCAGATTAGCATGCAGCAGTATTGTATCACTCATTACTGGAGCGCTGGAGCGGTTTTGTCCCCAGTGGTAATCTGCTCATGCTGAATGCCACAAAAATTGGTGTAATCTTTCAAACAATGACGGATTTCCTCTGCTATTGGCAACTGGAAAGATGTTGGAAATTCCCAGCAGCTCAGTCTTTCTTTTTCGAGTATGGTCTTTTGTTACAAGACCCAGCTCTTTTGTCTGGTTTCAGGCAGCCTGGCATTAGGTATAAAGAAAACGAACCCGAAACCGGGTCTTCCGGCAGCAAGTGGTTAAGATATATGTAGCTGCTCAAATTGGATTTCCACAAAAAGTGTCTTTCCACAAAAATTATCTGTTATTGAAATTATGATTTGTTGCCAGCTGAACTAAGGGAAGCCTCCTTTTGAAACAGGAGCTTGCTTTGAATAAATAACAATACAATTGCTTATAAAGTGCAATATAAATGTTTTGGAAAGAGGTATTGGTGCTGTACTGAACAAAATATACATTTGAACAGTAAGTTTCAATTTAATAATGATAATGATATTTATTTTTTTTAAAAGCCCACTACGTCAAAGGGAGACAGATCTCAACAGGCTGTGCATTAATAAAAATACGTTGATACTACATAAAACCTTATGAAATGTAAAATTAATTTGAAATTATGCAGTAAATAGTCAACAAGACAGTTACGGTACTTTACAAGGCAGAATAAGCCAGGTTATACATTACCTGCCTATAGCAGGGCTCACCAAGCTGTGTTACTATAGAGGATCTAGAATTCCTCTTTCTTTGGTAATGAGAAATAAGATCGGTTTAGTAAGAGTGATAATGTAGGTGGTAATGTTTGAATGCAGATTGTAGGGAAAGATCGATGGCATTGAAAATATATTGTGATATTGTACTTATTTATTTTTTTTGTTTACATCCTGAGAGTTGGAACAATGCAGCATGGTATTTTGAAACTAGACAAAGTTAAAATATGGAGCCATCATTGCTGTACTTTACTAGTCATTGTCAAGATAACACCAAATAAAATGAATTCACCAGTATGCCCAACTGTCCTTTAAAACTACATGTATATGTACGCCTGAGGCAAGTCACATGCCAGAAGAGTGACGAGCTCGCTCAGCATGCCGCGAAAGCTTTGCTGCCCTGCGCTCATGTACAGAAACTAATGAGTGTATTTTTGGTTTCTCTTTGTATTCTAGATCTTGGGAAAGTTCCTCGTATTGGCTGCTGTTTCATGGACTATCATCCATCATGTACGATTGAAAATTCCCTCCTAAAGCATAAAACAGGCCAGACATGGCACAATGTGTTCCATCTTCTTAACATGGGAGAATGTCACCTTAAAAATATCCACTTGAGCCAAAAATGAGCTTTACGTGATTGTTATCAAAAGCTATGTAATACCTCATAATGTTTGTATGTTAGAGATGACCATTTTGCCATGTAAAAAGCTGTTTTTTGTATTGGATGAAAAGTTGCTTTGTGTTGCATCTTTGCCAACTGATGAGGCTGCACAGTATACTGCCCAGTTGTGCTTGAAAGAACCTTATTGCTTTGAAGTGTGGCAGCTTAACACAGAAGTTGTTCACACAACTTGCATCCGACAGTGAGGTTTGAGTTTGGAGGCTTTCTAATTCTACTGTGTAGTAAATAACCTTTGACCCCCTGTTTTCCATTGGTACCCAACACTGGATAGCATCCACCTTTGTAGCATGGTCACCAGCAGACACACAAGTTTAGCCAGATGCAGTAGTCCTTATTGTTATAAGTTTGGTTATTGTATTCTTTACTTTTTTATTGATTAAACTTAGTGTATTCCTGGCTAAGCCGAAAAGGACTGGATGCTCCTTTAATTGACCTTGCAGATCAAGCTTCCTTCCCTTTAATACCCCTTGAAAAAAACAGGAGGCAAAACGATCAATGTGAAAAATCATGCTTGAAATGAGTTACTGTGTTTGATTTGATTCGTGCATGATTATTGTTTTTCCCGGCCGAGTCATCTCAAAAGTTCAACTCTGGAGGTTTTGTCATAATCTTCTGTTCCTCAGCCGTGGAATGGTGTCTGGTAGCTTGATGTTTGTGGCGCCATTGATGGCTTGTTAACCCAGTTATATGCCATCACCATGTGTGACATTCAGATATTCTCCACGTCCAGAGGACAAAAAACGTATATCTTAGAAGCATGAGAACTTGGCATCCTCAATGTTAAACTATCCAAGCTTTCTTAGATTAAGTCAATCTATGGATGAATATTTAACCGCCAGCCCATTTTTGGCTTGCAGATCTTTCTCAAGCATAAACCAATATTCTGACATAAAATATAGTTGCTGCTACATGTATTTAGACTAATTTTTATGATTCTTATACATTTTTTGTCCTCTTATCTTGTGAGATGGCACATAACCTTTATTGTCCCTTTCCCCATTAATCCTGTGCCTTTTCTTTTATAGGAAAGGAGCAGCTTCCCAAGCAAAGTATTCATCTGTTATTGACCCAAAAAAATCAGCCTCAAAATGACATAGCAGATGAGTTGCTGAAGAAATGTGTAATGAGCTGTTTCTGGTCAGAGTTCACTGCCTTGATGCCGTCAAAAAATCGGGACTTGTATTGCTAGTTCATGCGGCATGGGGATACATGGTCTCGCACACCCATGTCCTGTCATGAATGCAGATGTAGCTACGCAGCAAAGTTAGTGCATACTCCAAAATGAGGAATCGCGGTGATGCAAACTGTTCCATTAACTGGCTCAATTGGTCTGTAATTTGGTACATGTACATGTACTTGAAGACTCTATTCAAAACTATGGAGTGAAAAAGAAGATGAGCTGGTTTATGAAAATACAAGTATCATTTCTCAATATGCATAAGCTTTCAGAGGAGACAGCTTCAAAGTGAAAATAATTGACAGAGTCACTGACGGCATTCTCCAAAAAGGTTAACATGCGTGCACTATTCCGAAGTGTCAAAAAATGGACATCGAGGCACTGTGTCTGTCGACTTTTAAAGGGCCACCCTTAAATTGCCCCCCTGCATCTTGCAGCGAGCACCTTGAAGCAGTTCAGTAAGAGCCACGACAGTGAGGTGTGTGGGTGTGGCCCTTTAAAAAACCACGAAGCAGCTCCTTCACTTTGATTTCACAGATGATGAAAGCCTGTGAGCGACAGAGTCCATGCAGCCAACCAGGATGCTGCATCGGTGTTGTTGGCTGCTACACCGAATGCCAAAATTTGCAGCAAAGCATGAAGTCTGCCACGGCAGAGGTACTTTCCTCTTGAACAGTGTGCAGTTTTTGCATGTAGGCTCCACAAATCAAACTGTCAAACAGTAAAAACAAATCCAGACATATTTGGGGGGAAATTGCAGGATTCAGGACTGTTACTGTTATAAAGGCACAGTTCATGACTCAGTATTGTAAAATCAAAAATTGTTAATTTTCATCAAAAGGGTATGTAGTTGTAATGTAATTTGTGCATAATAAGCAGTAGCTGGACTTTTTGTCCCGCTCACACGAAATTTTTTTCACCTTGTATTAATAACTAAGAAGTGCCTCGTTGAGGTTACTGCCTAATTTTTTTTCGTTTATGTGTCCATGAATATTACCACAGCCATGTTCAAGAAGAAAGTATTTCTGTCGGTTGCTTGCTGCCATTTGTGCAAAGCACCAGACTCCATTCTAGAGAGCAAGCCACAACTGCAAGAACTAGACCTGTAGACAGAGGGAAATGCGACAGCTTTTGCTTCATTTGCTGGCCACAAAATGGACGCTGTGCGCAGTCACGCATGTAGGCTTTACATATTGAATTGTATGGGTACACTGGTGCACTTTAAACCAGTCATTTTGTGCCCATTCATGTGTGGGTCTGGTTGAAAGACCTTCCCAATGAGGGAGCTTCCCATTAATCATAGACCAATGAGTGAGCTTTTGAGATGACCCCCTGTATTTTGCTAGTGGAAGCTACCTCCCTGTTGAGCCCAGATCATGTCCCCTCATCAGTGTGTATTGTCACAAAAGCAGATGCTGGACAGGCTGCTTATAACAATGAAGTTACCTTAGGAATGAAAATGATTGGTATTGAGTTGGAGACCCTGTTATCTGCATGACGGGCATTTATACAGAATTATTTGTTTTTGTTAAATATGTGATAATTTTGTTGAAGAAAAGTCTGATCATTTCGCTGTAAAATTCACCCTACTTAAGCCATTTGCAGTAGTTAATGCAAGCAGCCAGACACATAATTGGAAAAGAAACCAAGAGTATTCAGAATGAAGTGAATCACTCTCTGAAGAATTATTTCAAAAGTTCTACTGAGAATGTGACCAATTCATCAGCTGATTCCATTTTGACAAGCCTTCCCGTCGCCATCACGATTGATACATTCACAGAATAGAATTTGCAGGAGTTCACTGGTTCTGTAATTTGCTTTCGTTCATCAGGGTGTTCCAAGAACTACAAGGAAGCCTTCATGAGCGGTGACCTAGAACCATGGGTGTTTCGTGGAGGGCTGACTGCCGAGTTCCAGGTACGAAAGAGGAAATGGGTGGATTGCATTCTAGTCTTCAAATGTTAAAAGCAAATTTAAAAAAGAACCTTTTGTACCATTTCAGATACTGTGGTAACTCTAAGATTTTACAGACGTTTTCTTGTCATGATTTCATAAGTTGCGTATGGAATATTTAAATTTATAGTCATTTTGAAGCATGTGTAGTTCCTCAGATATTGGTAGAGTTTCTCACAGAGTTGTTGCTTGCTGGTGGGTTTTTTCCCCTGACAGAGGATGCTGCCATTGAATGGAGCTGCCGACCTGTTTTCCAAGAAGCCATACAGTGTCAGCAGCAAGGTCTACACAATCCGACCCCTTCTGCCTGCAGATGAGGCAAGTGGATTCCCCTAACCCAGGGGTTCATATCAGTCTGTTGTTTGGGACAGACTTGATCAGGCTTGGCTCAGATTGGAATGAACAGCGTTGAGTCGGGGTTTGTAGAGCTTGACAGGGCTGGGTTGAGTTGGGTTGGGTTGGGCTGGGCTGGGCTGGTCTCATTACAACGGGACAACTAACTTTACTGAAAATCCTGAGTTATTTCATCAAGTATTGGCATCAAGTTCAATGGTGTATGTGTGTTTAACCAATAAAACTTGCTGGAAGGCCCCAAGAAGAAGTATGTTGGTCTAATGTGGGTGATGTGACCCTTCTGTCTTGTCCAGGATGCTGTTTACAGGGCATGTCTGCTCACTTGTGATGATGGGGAAGATGGCACTGATCTCTTCCTCAATCATCCTCAACTCATCGGAGACAGGTAGGCTGACTTGTTTCTCTTAGACCCTCTTGATTTGCTAACCTCTCTGTTGCCTTCTGCTTTCAAGACTTTGTTTGATAAAAACTTGGGTTGCATTAGGCATGTTTTAATACCGGCATATTAGTGGCAAAAAGTGAAAATTGGTTTGTTCTTACACTCTACACTTATGCAAGACTTCATCCCATACTTTTTCAATACTGGATGGTGTGGCAGGATGGAGAAGAACATTTGATCACCAGTTGGATAGAATTTGCTGGCCAAGTTGAACAGAGTAAGTGCTGCAGATGACTGTCTAGTCAGGTCAACTTCGTAGCAGCAAGTATTTCTCAGCATATTGAAAAACTATTCCCCCAAACAAGTGGGGAACTGATACCTTTGCTCGGATGGTGATCTGGGTTATCAGCACAGTTCAAGGTGTTCAGCGACTCTTCAAATTTGACCTGAGCTGTGTTGGAGTGTGGCAAAGTTGCAGTCGATCAGTCGGAAACTGAACAAACACACAGGTTGCACCAAGCACAGCGTGGTATCTTCACAAGAAGTGAAAGAAATTGGAAAGAGTGAGGGCTGAGAAGCAGTGTTATGGTCAAGTACTTTTCAAGTACCAAGTTAATGCAAAATGTTGCACTGGTGAGGAGGGAACAAAGCTAAAGACCAATGGAAATTTGTGGTAATTGCACAAAGATGAGATTAAAAAAGACTTCAGACACTCCCAGTTTTGTTAAAACTTAAGTTTTAGAAAGAAATTTCCAGTCATAAAAATTTAATTTTTATTAAACAGTGATGGTCTGTAGTCATTTCATTTTCTAATCTTACTTTTGTGCATATACTATTAAATGTCAGTTATCTTTAGCTCTGTTACTAGTACCTACTAACCAGTTCAATATTTGGCAGAGAACTTGGTACTGGAAAAGTGCTCAACTACAACACTGTTAAGAAGTGATACAGTGACACGATGTTTCAGCGTATGTACAAGTGTTAGCATGTGGAACATCTTTGTTAAAGGAAACACAACTCCGTAGCTAATGGTTTAGCAGGCCCTTGAAACTGGCCCTTGTGCTGGCCAAGAGCCAGTGAGCCACTGATAATAATCCACCTTGAGCAGAAGCACCCCATGGAAAGAGCCATATTGGTGGGGAGTGTTCATTTCGTTTGGAGTGACATGACTGTAACGCGTGCATTTCATAGTCATTCATAAAACAGTGAGGTGCAGTTCCCACCAAAGGAGCCTCCGGTGCCAGGAAAATTGTGCCCTCTCTTGGTCTGGCTTGAGGCTCATTGCCCCTTATTGTTTATTCCCCTTGCGTGGCAGGCTTGTGGGCCCCTTCCTGACCTTCAGCCGGGAGTACTGCTTTGTCCTGTGTGACGGGGAGGACATCGTGGGCTACGCCCTAGCCGCCTTCAATGCCAAGAACTTCAACAAGCAGGTGGAGGTAGCCTGGCTGGAGGAGATGAAGAGAAAATACCCTAAGCCGGCCAAAAGCAAGAAACCAACTCAAGCAGAGGTTGGTTGGGGAAAAAAATGGAAGTAGAGAAATCCATGCCTTCTTGAAGGGAGGATGTTAAGGTCATTTCTACTACTTTAACAGTAAGACATTTGCATGTGTAACACCTGGCCTAGAAATAGAGACATCCACATCAACCCTAGCTCTCTCGGCATTCTGAGGTCTCTAATACCTTGCGTGGAAGCCCATTGTACCTTCCCATACGTAGAACTCTCATAGGGTAGCTCAACTCTCTTTCTCAGTCCTGCAGAATGGTAGATAACTTAATACTAATGGCATTTTTCTGAATAGGTGAGGTTAGGATTGAAGCAAGGGCCCCTAATTTCCAGTCACAAGATTGTATACAAATGTGTATTACAGAAGGTCTTTGAAATCTGATGAGTACATCTGAGCAGAACCCTTTAAAACGATAAATGTGACTGGGTATTTAAAATTCCTGTTTGATTCTTCTCATGGATTTCATTTTGCCGTCTACAGAAAACTATCCTCAGTTTCCACAAAGACCCTGTGCCTCTGTCAGAGTCTTTGTTCAGTCGCTTTCCCTCCCAGCTTCGCTTGGACGTGCTGCCACGTGTGGAGGACACGGGAGTCGTCAAGAACATGTTGGCCTGCGTCTTATCAGCACTGAAAACAAGTGGTAGGAACCAACATAAATTGCACGACTTCACAAAGGGTGGAGTGAATCTGATTTTGAATTTGAAATATGCATCTCTAACTTCCAAATTAATTGATTACAGAAGTACTTCAATGAAAAATGTGAGTGCCTCCATTGTTGGGTTTTGCAATTTTGAAGAAACAAACATTTTTTCAAGAAATTGTATGTCCTTGTCTTTATTATGACTATTTCCACAACTCCTGAAGTTTATGCAAAGAGTACCATTAAATTGGGTCCGTGTTTATTGGCACTTACTACAAAACATTTGTATTGATGCTAAAGATATGCTATATTAGGGCCTTTCCAATTGCTCTTTGAGATTGTGTCCAGGTTTACCAATTTAAGAAAAATCCACCTGTGCATTTTAGGTTATCCTGATTTGAAAGTTTACTTGCCAGACTAAAAAGGTGTGAGAAAAATGGGTGACCATTCCTGTTTGCCCGAAGAAAAAAAATACTCACTGAAGGTATTGTTAATTGAATGTCAGGTTCTCACGGTGCTTTCGCCGAGGTCAGCACTGACCTCAAGGGCCAGATGGAGTTCTACAACAAGCTGGGCTTCATAGATGTCTCTGACTCTGGAGGAAATCCGGACGAGGTTGCCATCCTGGGACGAATAATATAACAGCACAAGTATTTCCTGCTGGTTCCATTTCAAGCAATGCTGTGGAGGTCAAACAGCCTGCGCACGTCTCGTAATTCATTTTCTAGGTTTTTTTTTTTCTCATTGCGAATACCGATTTATACTGAGGGTAACGTCTGATCAGGTTTCCAGCGGTACTTAACACATTAACTTTTGTAACAGTGTATTCTATTGTTCAAAATTTTGCTCTGATTCAAATGCATTGTGAGACTTATGTGGAGGTTAACATTATGCAGTCTTATGAAAATGAGTCCTCTGGTACGAAACCAATTAAACACTATTATTCAGAAGCTTGCCCGGTTTCTAGTGATTCACATTTTGGGGTTGACTTTAAAAAAGATAGGTGCAAAAATTAGTCATGTAGTTCAGTCACAAATCAGAAATTACAGGAATGCTCTTCTAATCTCTATTATGACTTAAAAAGTATTGATGGATGAAAAAGAACTTAGATTCTAACTTCCCATGAACCAAACACACAAGTCGGAAGTTTTTAATGGGACAGGCTCCAGCATTTGGTAATTTTGTGGGTCCAAATAAGAAAAATGCAGAAGTTTTTAATCCTGATTCCTTTCGGCAGTGGAAGGTGCTGGTCATAGCAGAAATGTGCATTTATACTTATGTCTGCACACATGTACACATTCTTGGGAGGTAGGCCGGGACCAACAACCGTGGAATCTGAAACTTACTACACACACACACATTGGTAGGAGGTACCAATAGGCCTTATGCTAATGCACCCCCCCCCACAACAACTAAAAAAAATTGTTACTAGAGCATTTACTAACCCAAGAGATATGAGGAACATCAAACTATTCTGTGTACTTGTATTACAGCATAGTTTTCTTGTACAATGTAGTAGTTAAATGATATTTATGGTTCCCCTTTTTGTCACTTACAGTATGCTGTGGGTATGGGGATACATGTACTTGTGTTGTTGGTATCACAAAACAGTATTTGGTGTTATTTTGGTGTTATTAGGCTTAAGGGTGAAGGCTGGGGATTTTCATTTGTAATGTACGTGTAAACTTCCAGGCATGATTGTGTGTGGATGCCAGCCCTATTAAGTGGCCCATCAGTAAGCTGCAGTAGTTTGTTCTTCAAACTCACAGCGATCTGTAGAGACCATTACATAAACGGCTGTGTCATCAATCAAGGTGCCAGATCCCCTGTGGGTTTTTCTCTTGGGGGGGAGAAGGACCGGGAGGTGAATCACTCTCGAGTAACAACTTGAAAGGGTAAATCACGAATTCTTTTTAAAATTAGCCACTTATAAACAAACTGCATAAACTGGGCTTGTGTGTCCATCTTGGACAAAGGCTTCGTACGCACAGTGTCAATTGAAAGCATTGGAACTAATCCTCCCTGATAACAGTAGCATTCAAATTGCTTGTGTAATAAGTGCTCACACATTCTTTTCTCTTACAGCACAAGTGTGCTTTCCTCTTGTGTCTTGGAATCATGGGGGATATATCTCCCCCTCTTGAGGGGGGGAGGATTACCAATCCAATTATCCCCCCCCCCACACACACATTTCAAGTCACTTTGTGCACACACATAGCCTGCGCCACCAACTCTGCACTTGCCGGCGTCACAATCTCACCTGGGATGGAGGCTGTGCTCAGCACAGTGGATGAATACGAAATCATCCCCCTCCCACACACACACACACACATGTGACAAGAAATATCCTCCCATGCTTGGAATTACTGGTGGGGTAATTCCTTAAAGATATCTATTCAATCTCATTCATTCATTCATTCATTCTGAATGGCATTGATGTGCTGTAGACTTTGTTTTAGTATATGGGTAGAAAGTTGAATACTTGTCAGCATGGAATCGAAAAGGAGCATCACTCCCAGTTTCTCTCATTTGAACCTTTGCATTGTAATCTTTTGCAGAGTAAGGGCAACTGTTAAACAGAAAAACGAGCGAGAAAATACACCTGTCTGATGTTAGTTTTCCTGGGATGTAGGAAAGTCATATTACTATCCGGTGTCTTTGTTTTATTTTGGGGTCCTTAATTATTGGCATGCAGCATTGTGGTATATGATGCCAATAAAATAACAGAAGTTGATCTTCAAAATTGTCACTTTTCTGCCTCCTTTTGGTAATGAGTATGTCGTGGTTACATTCCCACTTCGAACATTTGTCCGTTTTCTCTAAATTCAGTGTTGTTCTTGGATTGATTTGTGATAAGAACGAGTAGTAATTCATCCCAGTCTTTTTTCCAAACAAATCAAATAGAACCAAATGATTTTTAAATCAAAGTGTTTTGCAGGTTGCTTCACCGTATTTGAAGTTACAGCTTCACCTTGAAGAAAACCCGCATACATAGAAATTGAACAGAGTATGTAGTTCAAAAACTTGACCCAGCAGATAATTTGGTAAAGTTTCTGGAAGCCTAGGTGTCGTCTGAGCACCAAAATTTATTCTGAAGATATATGGCTCTAAAATAGTCTTATGATTTATGCCTTCCCTCAACGTCCAAGTGCAACTTCTGTTTTGGTATGTTTTCCCAGCTGTAGTTCTTATACTCTCTGGCGAGCTCCCCTGCATTGAGATATTGACAAATTGGGAGGTACCACCAACAGAGGGCTGGATAGCTCAGCTAGCACAGACATGGTGTCCCGAACGTCGTCGATTTCAAGCTGTTCCATGAAACTTTTCTTTCGGTTCATCAGTATTGGGCCTATTTAAGCAAATAACAAGTGACCCTTTATGGTTTTAACGACATAACTGCTTCGCAGATTTGAGGTCGCAAGTTCAGCATTTAAGTACGTCCCAGCCCAAATCATGAGTGAGGTCAAGTCCGAATTACTGGACCGCTGCGGAACAATAATCAGTGAGCTGCTAGCCACTTCATCACGTGTGATTTCCGGCCTAGCTATTACAGGGCCCGCAGCTATGAGGGACCATTGTAATTGGACGCGTACGGGATACGTCTGCTACTCGGAAAATTGGCAGCTTCGTGTTTTTCCACTCACTGTAAGCAATGTCCATGTCACATAAATATGCTCGCATGTACATCTGCACTAACATGTACAGTAGGTTTTTGAAATAAGTGCGCAACTTGGTGAAATAACCACCCAGTTTTTCCGAGCCACATGAACAGCACTGCAGTCTCCTCGTGCGTTCATACATTGTCGGAGACTGCACGAAAACAGCTGCAACCGCTACCCTATTACAACTCCCATAGGCGCGCACATAAATGCCCGCGTAAAATGGCCATAACTTTTGGGAAACAACCTAAAAATTTCCCACTATTCTTGGGTGCGTTTTGTCGCTCATAACCAAAGAATTGATTGGTTCGATATTTTCTTTTGTAATTTCTCAAATCCGCGCAGGTACAACGCTGCACGCGTCTCCATTCTTTTTGTCAGATGAGGGCGCTATTCACGTCTGTGATTGGAAAAGGAATTTTAGGTTGGTTTATCCTAGCCAATGGGAATTTATCTCAGTTTATTTCAGTAGCTACGAATCGTCTGCATGCGACCATGAGGATACAATGCCAACAACAGATTTGGCGCCGTTGGCATTGCTTGCCTTTTGTAGCGAATTAAAACTACTAAATTGATTAACTACGTCTAAGTCTTCAGCAGTGCAAACTTAGGCCCGCAAATGAAGTCGAGAAATGACAGGTGAGCAGAGAAATTTAAAAAGCCTTATCGCTGGCTAATATTTTTGATATCGCATAGGCCTAAATAGGTGATTTTGTACAATAGTAGAAAAGCATTGTGGAAAGAAATGGGCAAACACTGCTCTTCCCTTCTCACAGTGCCTAACAATATGCAAATCACGTATGCGGTATAGCAATAAGGCTTATTATGGTGCAGTGATTTGCAAGAGTAACTTTTAACCATTGCAATTTGGATTACAACTGTATCATATTAATGTAAAGTTATTGGCAATATGGATCTCCTTTCTTTCAAAATATTTTTCTCAGCGACAGTGAATTTAGGTTAAAAAACATCCACAAGACAATTTGGACCTAGCTGGTCCATTCTCCAAAAGCATGGGCATTCTTGGGATGAATTTCATGGTAAAGTGAATATCAGAGACTAAATATATGAAGAAAAGTGAATATCAGAGATGAAATATATGAGAGAAAAGTGAATATCTATTATCAAATATAAGAGACACTGGACTAGGAAGAGGTAGACATGGGCAATTGCTGGAAAAGGACAAATTTATCTGCATAGTAGCATTGTCGTACTTCCATTGGTATTTTGTAGACAAGGTATGGGTGTTAAAAGCTTGTGTTTTTGTAAAAATTTGCTTTGAGCAGTGTTGTAGTCGAGACCACCGCAAGATCAGACAGACGGCCAGTCACAAGTAACAGGGTGAAAATGACTGAATGAAGGAATGCTTTTGTTGCAGTTCACTGGAATAGCTTGTGACTTGAATTCAGACTTGAGGTCTTGTGTTGGTCTTGTGAAAGACTTTAAGTGGTCTCAACAACAGCACTGGCTTTGAGTGTAAGTGGAAGATGCCAATTCTTTTACCTCCCAACTTCTTTAGCATGCTTTTCATGGTACTTCCTTTATCTTTGTGTAGTAAACATGACAAAAATTTAAAGTCAGTCTAAAAATCAAAGAAAAATACACTCCAGCGCTTTTCAGCGTCTTTCCCCACTTTCACCTATGCCCATTTCAATCTCATTTTTCAGTCCAGAATTCCAAACAATGTGTTCTGAGAAATACTACTTACATAAAAGCAAGTGCATACACGTAACTCTTAGAAAATGTGATTTTTATTCAGACAAGTAACATTGTAACACTTCAACCACCTCTTACACACTGAAGCACAACTACCACTTCACATCTACTTTCAAAAACATATCCACAGAAAAAAAGTATACCAGAACAATCATATTGTTCCAAAATGTCTAGCAACACCGTGCAAAGTTTATGTAACTTACTCAAAAATGGAATTCAACTGTTGCTTATACAGTGTATGTACAATACTATACATTTTATTTAAAAAAAAAAAAAAAAGGTTAAGTTCAGAATGCCCCAAATGACGGCAAGTTCTAATAAGGCAGAGATTCGGTGACCAGCTAATTTAAAGGCACATAAACCAAAACAATCAACATTTTCAATGAGCAACTGGAGGAAACCATTTTATAACCAAATTCTGAAGTTAAATGTTCACTACAGAGGTGATGGGCAGGATTTGTAACAGCCTCACGTCAAAGATCTTTTATGAATTTTTTTAAACAATAGCCAACTCATGATGATGATTCTAAGCATTTCAAATGTCAGCATGTGTCAGTTACAGTACAGACACTTCCTTGAAGTGTCTTCCTTTTTTCCACCACCAATTCAAAAGGGTATATGTATGTGAAATTATTTCTTAAATTCCTCTTCTTTTACTATTGCAAAAAAGTCATATTTTGAATTGATTTACAAGAAAAAAAATTCATTAAACATTTTCCGATTCAGTAAAAATAAAAATATTTACAGACAGTGTTAGAGAATAGGGGAAAAGAAACATTGACTGATTTCACCAATTACTGAAACTAAATTTAAGATGTTAAATTTAACATTACCGAAAATCCACTTACACACACTATTATTCAACTGACATAAGAATATTACTGTAGTTCTGTTTGTAAGCTAATTGTGTCATCTTTTAATTGAATTTTGCATCCAAGCAATGTGTTAATATTTCACAGATTTCAATATTTTAAAACCTTTTTGCAGATGATTTTTTAATATTGAACAAGAAAAGTAGTTTGAAAGCCTAGATTTCAGGAATTCTAATTTAAAAAAAACAGTATTTCTGCATATAAAAACCAGCAACTGTTTCACTGAAAATGGAAGGCGTAACTGATAATTTTAGCAGAATATCAAATGCCACAATAACAACAAGATGTACAACTAAGTGACCTCATATAAACACACCTCTCATAGTAGCATTGCACAACTTTGTTATGTGATTGAAAAAAAATTACCAAACAGCAAGTGAGACACCAACCTTTCACATTTTCTTTTCAACCAACATGTGTCGTATCATATTACAGGTATATATAGTCCAAACTTTGTGCCTTGCAGGTTGACTTCAAAACCGGTCTAAACACAGAACATGGGTCACATGCACATTTTGCACATTTGAGGATTTTGACAATGGTGATTACCAAGGTTAGCTTCAACACAGGAAACGAGCAAATCTGCAGGCCACCTATCTTACAGTTTTTACTGCCACGGGTTTGTAACTGTGCAGAGATTTCTCAGTACAAGCACTTAATGAAGAACTTGAACATTTTCACCAGTAGACTTTCCAGTGTGGTTTAAATTAACTATCTTGCTCAGTCTGTGGTCCAAATGTTGGCATCAGCAGCTGTAAAGGATTGTATATAATTAAAATTAACCATATAACGGTATTCATGCCCAAATGATATGATGAAAATGAAAAGACATACAAAACAGTTTCCACTATGTTTAATGGAACAAACTTTCATAAACCGTATCAGCAAAATGTGAATCACACGGGACAGATTGGAAATTCACTTCTTTAAAATTAACCTCTGCATATGTTGAACACACTTCAGTGAATGCACAATGGGCATCCATCAAAGCAAACGAGCGAAAGATGAAACAACTACGATGATGATGCCAGAGTCATGAACAATGCTTTGCAGTCACCAAACTCTGTATGTGATGTTAATATAGTCAGGTTTCTCAATGTCTAATGGGCTACAAAAGTTATGAGTGTAAGAAACTGCCTTGTGACAATTTGTAACAAGATAAGAAGTGCATAGTGATCACATCAAAGTCTGTGACAAAACAGTGTAAAGAGACAATTTTGAATCAATGGAGTTGATACCCTTCAAAATCAGAAATGCTAGTCATGGTCACTTTGTCTAAAAAAAACCCAGCTCTGTACAACTTTAAAGGAGGTTATTTCAGAGGGAGCAAACAAGCCTTCTTATCTGATGGAAAGGGAAGAGGTTCCACTTAATTAGAAAATTGATGCATCCGGATGGATTTCCCAACACTGAAAACATTATGTAAAGATTTAGTTCAAACAGCATCTGTTCCAAGATAAAAATACCAATTCAACGATGAAAATGAAGTATGCCAGATGTGATATTTGACTTGTGATTAAAGCTTAGTAGCTGAAAGCAAGATGCAATCTTTGCACAAACTGGTTAAAAAAACTTTCAATTGCAATTGAATTGTATGTGAATTAGTTCAATGTGGATTATTTTTCAGAATGCCTTGGGCATGAATGTGACCATAGTTGATTTGATTAGGCTGGGCTCTTCTCTGTCACTGTTAATATTGTTAACATTGGTGTGCTCATATAGCACCAGTGATCTTGCAGAAGAGATGACTTGCGCTCACAGTACAAAGGTGAAGCTGCACGAAAAAACTACAGTGGGTAATGATCAGTTGCCTCTTATTTAAGCAGTTTATGACCCGAGGCATGTCTGTGATATGTTATGCATAGCAAGGTAATGTACAGGCATAGCCACAGGGCATCTGTTGGGAGAGAAAGAACTGAGATGGCATCACAAGGTTATTGAACTCACTGATATTTTTCAGTTGGCAGTAACTCTTGAGAATACCCAATTACAGAGAGCGAGTAGCAATTGCTGTGAAAAACTAGTCAATGTTCCAGAACCAAGTAAGTGCAATGATAAAGATGCTGAAGAGATAAAATTGAAGAGGTCTAGAGGGGTTAACACTTTTGCCAGGCTTTAATCAAGTCATCCCAAGTCAACTTCAAGCAATCACTAGTCGTTAAGTCTGGTGAAGGTCATTTTTAAAATGGCTTTTGACACAGTCACTCCTGTTTCATACCATACTTCTAACTCAATGAGTAATTGACTATTGACCTCATTGGAAATAGATGTATGGCTCTTGTCCAAGCCCACACTGATAAACCTCAGCCACTCAGAATGACAGGCCACAGCAGCAAAACGTAATCAGTTCAAAACTGATGTGTCAAGCCATGAAGAGAGATTCCATTAATACACTCAGCCAATGCTAAGTGTACTCATACTCTGTTAGTTATACCCTTCACCTCTGATGCTACTTAGACCCCTTTCACCATGGAAGGAATGAAAGGCTTCAAATGATCCAATACCTTATACTTTAAAGAGTTCCTGAGTTTCCCTTTTCAGAACTTTGTGGTGATGATTTAGTATTCTTCTTTCTCCTGTTACTGGGTAATACAAAGGAAAATAAAAGCAAACAGTATCATTTAATTAAATTTAAACTCAAGAGAGATTTAATAAATGAGGTAAAACAAAGTGCAACTTCTTGTTAAGGCACCAAATTTGGTTACAGTCATTGGTTTTAATTTCATTACCTGCACTGCTGGGGGAAAATTCAATTTCTGTCAAACAAAACCTGAGGAAGCTGGAGACAATTTGTTGAGTCCACATATATCAAAGACTTTTCATACTTATAGCAAACAACTGCATTGTAATACAAAGTACCAAATACCAATACAGAACAGACAATGTGTTTTGTACCAATCAAGTTTTCCTATGAGCATGAAGACATAGATTATTGCATTATCTGAAAAAGCCTTCAGTTAGGCAACTGGAGAGCCACCAAAGTAAAAGTATGTAGTTACATGTATGTTTGAACTACAGTCCTAAATAAAACTTGTTAAAAATCACTGCTTATTTCAGTAAGCAGTGGTTAATTTTGCTCACTTCTTTGAAAAACATCTGGGGCAAATGATGTGTTAAACCTTTATGTGTGCACATGAAGTTGGCAAATATAATTGGGTTTCTAGTAGTAACATGAAGTTTGAATGTACTGGAGTAAATAACATGCAAAAGCTCACTTTTGTATGCACTCATTATTAGTATTAAGATTATCATATCAGCCACTACACACATTCACAAAATCTCTTACACTTTATATTAATCTGTATAGTTTAAAAATACAATGTATACAAAAAGGAAATAAATAATCACCTCCCCCAGTTTTAATATCTTCAATACCAATGCAGTTCCACATACATGTATGTAATAAAACAAGTAGCACCAACTAAACTAAGTGCGAATGATGTGCACCATCTTTTCCACAAGTGGTAAAAAAACTAATTAAGTTCATCAAAACTTAATTGCATCAATAAACTTGACAGATAAGAGTTTTCCCTCCTCGAAACCAGCGAGGAGCAAATATATTATTAAAGCCTCAAGGTTTTTATCTTGACAAGTTTTAGAAATTTTTAGCTATGACTGCCTTTGCCACACACACACTTACTTTTAATAAATATCTGTATCAGTTGGACGAATATTTAATGTTAATTCTTTCTTATGCCAGTGTATTTACTTTCCTGCTTGAATGGTGCAAGTCAAAGCGAAGACACTTATTCCACTAGCTCATGGCACATTTTACCGAGTCTGTAATGAGCCACTTGTATGCTAAAATTTAAAAAATGCCTGGTGGTCCTGAGAACTTTTTTTCCATGACACTTGGCCATTCAGCTTTTAATTGCATCCTTAATACAAACACACTGTACAACATTACGTGAAAACCTGATGACCGGTTCATGCAAATACAAAGTGAATTTAACCCCAAGTGGACATTTTCAGTGAGATACACCAGAAATAAAATGCATCAAACCTTAACGCACATACTTGCATTTATCACAAGTTAGCTATCATGTTCACTTTCAGTCCCAGTGTGAAGATGGTAAGTTTCAGCTACCTGTTGTGCAAGACATGCTGGTCCAAGGCATACATGTACTTTTGGTGCAACTACACACCTGTACCCATGCTTGTTCTAGCAAAAGGGTCCGAGGTTGAAATGTATCAACCATTCGAATAAGTTGGCGCTCCATATGCTACTCGTGTTTGACTCACAAAGAGCAATGGTCATTTACCAGTGAGTTATTCTAACTTACTACATGTAAATATGTTACAAGGCCTTAACTGCACCAGTGAAACATCATATATGTAAGATAAAACCAAAGAAAGGTTACTTTTGAAAACTCTGGAAAATCTTTGGGTAAGAAAACCAAATACATGTGGTTGACATGCCTCCTACGATTTTTTTTGCTCCTAATTTCCGTATTAACTAGGAAGCAATCTATTTTTAGCTCTAGTTACAAGCAACACATGGCAGGCAATCTGTTCATGAGTCACTCCAGTCTAGCATTTAACATATGCAGAACTGTCTAAGTCAAGCATCTTTATACTGTCTGTTGACTAAATGCCTTCTACTATGTAAACGTTTCCGATTCTCAATTCAATACCTCAATTTCATGATAGACAAGGTTACAATTTTTGGAAGCCACGTTTCCTCCACATTCTGCACAGGTTCTATCCAAATCATTTTAGGAAGTCTAAGCACCAATGTATAGAGGTACATGTAAACTATAATCCACTAAACTAGGCTAAAGTACAAATACTGCAATACGTTCTGAGGTTTGCAGGTGGGCTGTTATAATCATTAGTACCTGGTCATTTTGATGCCAGTTGTGCGTAGTGCATAACGCCCTTGAGACCTCTCTGAACTTGGAACTGTCTGAAAAGACAAGAAAAATATTCTTTTAAAAATTACATTAGCCTAACAATGTTCATTAAATAAGTGCACTTACTAAAATCTCTGAACCATTAACCAAGTGCACAAACCACTTAGCTGAGTGGATCCTTTGATGAAATCCTGCCAACATGCACATTTTCTTTGCTCAAGCGAATGGGGGATAGAAGTATCACTCACAAATTCAACATATTCTAAGGAAAATCGTCTGCAATAGATTAGGAATACCTGGCAACAGTATCAGCTTCATTCTGACTAGAATTGATGGCACTGATTCAGCTCACAAATAAGAACACATGGGTTCTTACTTGGCTACCATCCCAAACTGAACACATTATAGTCATACCCACCTCCTGTTTTCTTCTTGGTGGTTTTCTGCTTAAATTGTCTGCAGATGCATAGTGTGAGCGCGACATGGCTCCAACTCCTGTTGACATATATGGCTGCTCTTGTAGCGAGCGCAGTGAAGGGGATCGTCTAAATGCATAATGACCTTCTGGTAGGTACACACTGTTGGCATCGTTATCGTATTCCTCCCTGGTTTGCCGGTCAGAGTATCTTGGCACCATCCGCCGGGGGCTAGGTTCCGGTTTTTTCCTGCGATGCCCGAGTCTCTCCTCTTCCTCAACATCTCCCTCCTGTTGCTGTTCCTCCATCTGTGATGCATAGTGGATGGTCTCTCGTTCTTCCCGCAGCCGGTTGTCAAGACTTTGCAGACTGTCCATTAAATCTGGGGACATGTCTGGGTCTGATTCTAATCTCTCTAAATTTTGCACCAAAAAAAAGAACAAAAAACACAAACGCAAACAAATCAAACACTTGTAAAGTTCTCATTCAAGACATCAATACTTAAGCGCAAAGTGCATATACCCATCTAATAGTGGCCTTCATTAGAAATCTGTAAAATTCACATCAACAATGTACTGTTCTGCAGGCACTTATATAAAAAAGTAAATAATATAACATTTACTCACTGTACAGCTTTTATGAATGCTGGCTGAGCAGTCAGCACATTTGAACCAGATCACTGGAATATGATTAATCATAGCCTCAGCTTAAAGGCTCGAGTATAACAACTTTTAATCGAATCCTGCCATCATTACCTGTAAAGGCACAAACTGAATGAAAAGCAAGCATGATGCCTTCAGGCAGACTACCATACCTCTGAGGGGACGTTCATATTCCTTCTCTTTTCCCTCATCTGAGTTCTGATCCTCTTTACTTCCCTCCCTTCCGTCATGCTCAACATGGGGGACAACACCCTCATCCTCTTCAGGGATTGTGTTCTTAGCTACATTCTTAGAGTAGTTCTTTAACTGGTCCATTAGTGTGGTCTGTCCCTGTCATGAAAAGTGAAATCACTCCATTCACAATTTAACTTTCTCATCTTTTGAAACTGTTTACAGCCGGGACAAAATTTACAGAGGAAAAAGTTCAATATTTAGGCAGGAAGATGAGAAGATTATCTTAAACAACTGTACTATCCAACAAATTTTGTTTGTTTTTTTTTGTTTTTTTTTGCTGAGGTAGCTAAAGTCTGGCTGCACTGAAGAAATCTACACCATACATGTAAGTGAGTGCGCCTACATAACAGCAGCCACATGCAATGAACACAGTTTTACAAAGAGTGTGGGGTAGTTTGAATCTGGGACACATATTTCTTCACCACTTGTCAACCCTTCATGGGCAACATCTACATGTAGGCTTCCTTGTCCCTGTTTAGTCACTGCGGGATGTTGGCTATTATTAGATCTACTCTCAGAACAGTTTGCTCATGCAAAGTCCTGCATGCAGATATGAAACAAGTTGCCTTTTCGGAGGAACTTCTCATTTAATGCCAAGTTGGATAAAACATGCATGATTCCTAAATGTTAATGTACCATATTCAAATATCACATGGGAGCAGGGAAAAAAATGTACTTGCCTTTATAGCTGACGTCATAACAACATTAGCAGCAATCGTTAGTCCATCTTTGCTGACTTTTTTCAGTGCTTCATAGCCCTTATTGCTAGCCTGGGATATATACTCGTCAATTTCCTAGATCAATCACAAAACAACTGAAGTTACTGATGTTTTTGTTCCAAAGATGCACTCACATGGAGTAAAACTCCATCAAATTTAGGCCGGTGCAGTGTTCTCAACTCAGGCACACATGTGAAATAAAATGCATAATTGTATGTGATCATTGTATGATCACCAAAATAGTCAGAACTTACGATACTCAAAGACTGTGTCAAGCAAAACTGCAATAAATATGCACATGCCCACATACATGATGCGAGTACATGTATGCATGCCTGTATCACTGAAAGTTCTGTTGCATACAACTTAAGCCGGACTAAATAGAATCAACCAGGATATCATTCTTTATGTACCCTGGAGCAGAGCTGAAAAGGAAGCATCAGAGATCCAAGCAAGCCTATCCCTCCACCATTCCTCCGATAGAAGCTAATGATGATGACCTTTGCTATTAATAGTATCAACATTATTGAAGATATACGCAAGTTTTACCCACCCTAGGAACTTGATAATGAAAGCTTTGAACCCCATGGCAGCATTTCTCCTTTTTACTAAACACATGACCTGCCTCATGCTTTTTCAAGGGCTTCATAATGTGCACATCACTTTCTGCTTTGTACGAAGTCCTTGCTTAGTAATGCTTCCCAAAATAACTAGTGATACAGAGTGCACTAATGTCCGTGCTGCACATTTCCTGTAGAAGAATCCAATCTAGTCTGTCCCCAAAATATCAAAGGGAATGCCATGATTCGTTCTTAGAATTAACTTTACTAGAACTGTGTGATACATGCCACCAGGTAATCAGTTTTATTATTCAGCAGCACATTTGGTTAAATTCAACATGCACAAACCCAAACACAAAAAGAAGAAATCCCATTCATTTCTGTAACAAAGCCAGAGCACACAATGTAATATTTATAGCTCTTTGTTCTATAAACATTGATAATTTATAATACTGGTTTATGATTTAAAAATTGAATTTGGATCTACACAAGAATATTAACCCTAACAGTCCTCAATCCTCCAGCAGGTGAAGGATTGAAGAGTGTTAGGGTTAATGTGTAGACCAGCTCCAATGACACATTTCTCGATAAGGAAAGTTTGAATGCGTTCCTGAGATGACTTGCACCAGTATTCACAGTAAATTCATGGACAAATACTGAAATTTAGTTGATGCCAGGGATCGAGAATATAAAATTAGCAGGAAATAGTCACATTGCCCCAGTCATCAAATACAGGAACCATCCACAATATGTTTAATATGATTTCTCAGGCCTCGTGGATATTCTGGTATTGTGTTGAAACAGGGTCTTAAAGCAATGGCCAATAGTAAAAATAAGAAAACGATTTTAAATGTGTTTTGCCCATTGCCATTAAGAAATAAAATTTCTAAAAATTTCATGTACTGCAACATTGGTCACCTGTTCTCGCTTGCTTAATGTTGGGTGAACAAACTTCCTGTAAAGGTACGTGGAGCCCTTTGTCCATGGTGAAATCAGCCAGAAAATGAAGAGAATCTTCGCCTCGTAATAAAATGGAAGTCTGAAGAAATACCAAGTGGGGAAAAACACTGGTCAAGAAAATTCAGAACGTCAAAGAAAAAAACAAATGGTAATTGATGAAATTCCCATTTTATAATGGAAGTCGGTTTTGGATAAAACATTTTTGAATGAGAAACACAATCTGCTAGTATACTTTTTGCTTGCTTGGATCATTGTTATTCTGCACAAAACGTTTAACCGAGAAATCTGTGTAGCCATTATCACACAACATCAACAAAAAGCATGCCTCCCGAGCTTACTGAAACAAATCTTGGAGTTATCTCAACTTGTTTCAGTAATTTCAATGACTGATAACCATAGGACCACTGATGTTACCTTCCACATTGACAACAGAATCAATATTTTCATAGCACACATCTGTAACCATGTCCTTGCCTGATTAGCATACATGTACATGCAGAGTATATTATTACATTCCTCAAATAATTTTGGTAAAATCCAAAGATTTGTACATTTAAAAACATTTTTTCCCAGATGTATATAATGATCACTTTCTGATTTACAATGAAGTGCACGTACAGTACATAGGGCAACGTGATTCAGTATTCACTCAGTGCAAAAATAGGCCTCCAAGTATGGAGACACTTTACTGATGCAGACTACATTTAATCTTTATGAAAAGATTTATGTACATGTACACTGTACACGTATGTGCCCAACTGACACACTGCAAATGACCTTTTCAGTTAGAATGCATACCAAACAAATATGCCCAAGTTACTCACACTACATTATTTCTGTTTGCAGAGCATGAATAAACAAAACCCAACGAGATTGTCTTTTCTGAACATGTACATTTGCATCACACATTTTCCTTTAAAAGCAGGGCTGTGCCGAATATCAGAATATTTGATCGATTATCAAATATTCAAATATTATTTTCCGAAGTTGAATATTCGAATGCAAAATTCATGAAAAGGGAGAATTTTCTTTTGTTTTAAATGAGAAAAGTTGCACTACGGAGGCTTGTGTCAAGGAGACTCAAATGAAAAGTGAAAGAAATCTTACAATGATTGGAAAGTAAATTACTCATTAAAAATTTAAAAGGAATAGAAATTTTCAACAGGACAAGTATTGTTCATGTCTAAAATTTTGCTAAATCGTGGCCAGACACATTCCTAGACATGAGAGGCTATTATAGTGATTATAATGTACAAATGTGTTTGTTATTGCGACTGATTTTATATATGGTTCGTTCATCAACAATCTGCCGGTAGGTATGACGGAATATTCGGATATTTGATCAAATTGAAGGTCGAATTTTCAATAGTGAATTATTCGAACTCAGCCCTATTTAAATGGGAAGATAGCATTCATTGATTATCGCATTAAAATTTGGTGGATGTATACATGTACGGTAGCCGTGTGGATGTGATGAATTGTGTGAAAAAACACATATACAGGTGCACTATACCTGTACATGTGCACGTATAAAAACATAGCAATGTAAAAACAGAGTTTTTCACATACAGAATACACATACCGGTATAATGTGAAATGTACATAAACACGTATGACCAAGTTTTCAAAATGGAACTTGTTTAAAATGTACACTGTACATGCAAATAAACATGTACTGCATAATATGCTACTGGCAAGAAGAATGCTAAACAACCCACACCAACAGCATGTTAAAACGAACCTATTACTCTCCCAGGTCAAATGTGGAAAGACTTAAATGCTTCAGATGTGAGGGATGACGATGAGTCAGGTCATCAGTTTGCAAGAGGAGTTCATAAGGCCTAAACAGCTGTTGGGAATCCAGGAATACCATTATGGATTAGATCCTTGGTAGATTTCTCTAGAGGCCACTGAAATATCTCTTGTGAATGTCTTAGAATCTGGACTATTTCCACAAAGACTTCCAAACCATGCTTATGAATGGGTGACTAGTGGGTCCAAAGTACACGTACATGTATATGCACAAGTACAAGCACATGTGGTACAGCATTCTGAAATATTGTTACATACGTATTTCTGTGATTACACAGCATGGATAGGAATGAATACATATATATATATATCAGAAGGTTCCACAAATAACTTGAATGACAAAATCCTGAGAGCTTCTGGAGATGCACATCATGTACAATGTATCCAAGGGCTCTTCATACCGGGAACAAGCAAAAGGTGTGGTAAACGAATACACTCATTTCCCCAAGTCTGACTAAGCACTTAATATTGAAACTGCACATGTACTTGTATATCACAGCAACAGCTGCGGTGGCCAGCTCCACATGAGAATGACAGCAATACATTGTTTACAAAGTAAACTACAGTGCAGGGGTTTTTGCCACCAGTTGGCTTAGTGGGATTACGATACAGGAAGGATGTTGGGATGGTACTCCTTCAGGATTTCCTAAACTGGTCATCACTTCTTTCTGCTTGTTTGTCCTTCCTTCCCCCCTTCCCGTTGAGTTGGTGAATATCGCTCTTCAACCACACTGTTTGCTGCTCATTGTTACTTGTACCCTTAGGCCGGTGAAAGTTGATTTCAAGGCTCTCGTCAGCCACTTCTGGAAAAGTGATGAGGGTTTTTCATGACCGTTCATCTTTTATCAGCAAATTTCTCCACAAATTTGACGGGGGATTTTCCTAAAGATTCATCACACTCACACAGTGCCACAGTGCCAATGTTATAATGTCCAAGAGCATTATAAATGCTTAATACTGAACTAATAATCTACCAATCAAAACTCATTAGTTTGACCCCAGGCACGCGCATTGTTTCCCGCCACACACCAAGCGCCATCACAAGCAACATGTGCTTTAGCCCCTTTCAGCGACAGAGCGCTGATTGCCACTCAAAATTGGCTCCTCCCTTACCTGTCAGTGACTAGACTGTACACGTACTTCCACATGTACATGTGTACACACAAAAATGTACATCCGCATGATACTGTCCATCCATCATGAATAATAAATAGTTAAACTTAACCCACATAACTTCACTGGCTTTTCAAAAAAATGCCTGTACTTCCTCAATTTAATATTGCACTCTATACGTACGGAGACACGCAACCGTATCTATTTTGTGCATGCATGTCCAAACAACAAGCACATTTGACGTATTAGCGAAGACGTCAATTCAATACAACAGCGTTAGCATTCGATTTTTAGACTGACAATCTTGAAGCTGTTTTTAAAAAAAATGAACGGTGAATCATTTTTATGTGGGCCATAAATTGCATGTGGGTGCTGACAGCATGAGGAGAACCATGAAATCAGATGCAGCTTTTGAAAAGAGACAAATGATGGACTTTATGATGCGAGCAAATATTTCCATGCAAGCAGTGACGAGAACCATGAGATAAACTTTCATTGGCCTTATCAGTTCACTTTCAATCTTAAATTGAGACCTTACGCTTAAAAAAAATTGTACTTTTAAGCTTGGACTCCAATCTTTTTAGTACGATAAAGTTGAGTGAAATCAATTTACATATTCCAAACAACCAGGACCTTTATTTGTTGTGGCTTTAACACGGGTAGAGCTCTAATAGGATAAGTTTCCTTTTTCCTGTGGACATGTACCAGTACATGTAGGCATACTTACATGGAGGCAAAGATGTCTGCCACTGTTTCCAAAAAGGTGAACAGGGCAAAAACTATCCAATACATCATCCATTTGACCTGCATAGAAAAAAAAAAGTCTCACTGTTGAAATGACAAGGAACTTGTGTTTCCCTCAAACAGCGAGAGGAATGGAAGAAAAAAGTACACACTGTACATGTAGTCAAAGGAACATTCTAGTCATTACTATGTGTATACAATTGAATATTCTCATTTAACTTTAGGAAAAACCTCAGAGTATTCAGGGAAAGAATGAAAATCCCACTTACATGTATTATGTAACAGGAACAAAAAGGGAGGCATTTATAAATACACGTACCATGCAGGAAAAAAGTAGTGTGTGTAGAGAATGATAAAGAATAACACAGACACCAACTTTCCCTGCAACCAAAACCCACAAAGTTGCCGGAAATACAGCATTAAAGGTCTGTGCCCCTTGGCTCTTGCCTATGTCATTAAGACAAATTACACTTTTCTCTGATTTTAATACGAATCTTAAGACTTACCTGTATCTTATTAATGAAGCATTTGGGATGTTTTGTTAGAGGTTTAATGTGTACGGTATATTACGTGTAGTTGTAAAGTTTTGCTCATTTTTGTTGTACTTTAGCTAGTATTTTTAATGTGAAATGTCACTGACAATTTATTTAAAGTGACGCTATATAAGTTATTATTATCATTATCAAAATTGAACATGTTCATCAAATGAGCTTTAGCACTTGTCAATGTGATGTTCACTACATCTTTCCAAAAAAAGTAGTGATTTCAAATGCATCAATGCATGTATACATAAAATCATGTACAAAGAACTATTCACATGCATCAACTGGTGCACATACTGTAGTAGGCCAGTACATATACAACATACCGGTACACCTGTGTTGACCACCGGTATCAAAGTCAAATGCATTTCAGAAAGCAAAGCTACCGGTAAAGGACAAGACTGTTGGGGGTTTTGTCATGAAGACTTGACTTCCACACTGGACACTGAGTGGAAAACAATTGTTAATTACATGTTTACAGCTTAACTGATTTGAACCCCAAAGCCTCCAAAATAACACAGGATATATCAACAAATCATCCTGAATTCTCAAACGTGTCGGTTTCATAGACACTCTACATACATGAAAATACCGGTTAACAATATGCATTACAAGGTAATTTAATTTTGAGGGTAAATTTGGACATGTTCATGGGTCAAAAAGAGTGACCACATTTTCTATGAAATACAGGTATACATTTACATGTAAACTTAAACTTGTCTCCAGCCATTGTGCAATGAATGCAAAGTGCACAACGGGCAAACAAAAGCTACATGTACATGTAATAGTCTATACCAGTATGTGGTCGCCCAAGGACAAACAGCTAAAATGTACTGGTACATGTAGTGTGTACATGTCTCTATACTGGTAGTCCTACTTCGTATAAACTGCACCCAATTTTCGAGATTTATGACAAATCTTATGATGGGCGAAAAGTGTTAGTTTATGTTAAGTTGCAGTATCTGGAAATTTGCAACACATCACAATTACACATGCTGGTAATTCCACAGAATGTCGGCACTTTGTAAACAAGTGCCCACAATTTCCAATGTACATAACTACATGTATTACTAACAATGAAATTCTTGAATAATCAATTTAAATGTCAAGTACGTACTACACAGAAATTATTGTTTGTAATACCAATATTTCATCTATGCACAGAATCAAGGGAATCAGAATTTACTGCACATGACCTTCAACACACTACTCTCTTCACTTTCAGTTGGGTCATATGCTTCATCACATGCATAAGTTTTGTTATTACAGGTTTGCATGTGTTGAGATTTATGTTCACGGATCCGCTGGGATCTAATTAGGATAAAGTTTCAGTTCAGTCATTTATGGCTCAGTCCAGAACAATGTGAATGTCTGGTATGGACACCATGCTTTTATATTCGTATTGGGAATTAACATACATGTACAGTATATGTACCAGTATTTTAAGTTTTCTGTTGTAGATCCATGTGGCATGATCATAGTCAGAGAGGGTTTAGGTGTAATTCTGCGTAAATTATTGTACCAGTAGTGTTTGCCACGAATTTCAGACATCCATGTTTTCCATGACTACGTGCAACATCCATTTTTCTATTAAGTTGAATCATAGGCAAGTTTATGACCATCTGTGAAGTAGATTTCTTCCCGGTCAGTAAATGATTGACATGTGTTGACCTCTGAAATTACAACACACTATTCAAGCTACATGAACATGTAGCATTGCTGCAGTGCAGACCTGCATATATTCTTTAGTTCCTTGACTTTATATAAATCAGTCTGTCAATGTTTTGATTATATTCCTCCATATCTGATTTAATCAAAACTACTTTCGTAAAATATCTAAAGATAAGATAAAGTTTCATGTCAGAAGATACAAGAGAACAGTCAAAGTATTTTAATCATTCTACATGCAGCCATATGATACGCATTATAAAGATGTTTTAGCTAAAGATACATGTTTTTCCTCTTGATGATCTCAAAACAGGTTGCTTGCTACATGTATGTAACTGTGTAACAAGAATGTCAATGAATATGTACAAAGAAGAGGCTGTTCGATTAATCAAAGTCACAACCTTAAAGTAACAATTTATCAATCTGAACAATAACCAAAAACCTGCAGGACCACGCTGTTGATTCTTAAGCATTTATTGCCAGTTCCCTGAGCTAATTATGTGCTTATCACACGACTGAAAGGACCATAAACAATATGTGACCATTGTTTTCTTTTTGTGTTTTTAAGTACATATACATGTAGTTGTTATTTTTCAGGAAGGCTGTTTTGTTTAGTTTTCGTACAATAACACCACATGTACAGTACATTGTACTGTACATGTACATTTGACATATATGTACATGTACATGTAGTATGGAGTTGGTCAACAAAAGTTAACTCTTGGTGCATGGTGCTGGTACATGTATATACACAAATGTACATGTACATGTATACTGTATGTACCTTACCTATAATTAAAATAAAACTGAGGTCTCCCCAAAAAGAATATCAGAGTGACAGTCGAAATGGGAACCCTCTGACTGATGATCTCTCTTCTTGGGGAGGTCCATGTAACTGTTAGCAATACTGACAACAGCTGTTGGTATCGTCTGATCTCTGACCGTAGACTGGTCCAAGAATGTGAATTGATATGACAACGATGAACAGTCAGATGAAGAAGAAAACTTGGCAAACACTGCCACAGGGTAATACATGTACACAAGAATGTGTACAGTAAAGTAAGGGCATATACTGTACATGTACACTGTACGAGCACGCGTAGAGACTGTATTTATTGATGTGAGCACATACGAATACAGGTAAGCTTTACACCTACATGTATGCTCAAGACTCAAATACAGAAGGTGACTTGAGAATATAAATGTAACTGTATAGATTCGTACTGTAGCATGCAAGGATGAATGTGGGAACAGTGCATGTGAACCCCACACCGCATCCAAGAGTTGCTCATGAATGCATTAGTTCTCAGCATACAATGCCTGGAAGTTCTAATATCTTCGTCAATGACCTCTTCCCTACTGCCAGCCAGCCCTGGGGTGCATGATGGCACATGACTAATTGACCATGCTATCATCAATGTCTTCAGTACACACCCTTCAGACTGGACATAGCCAGTCCATTTTAGTTGGCAACTTCAAAGGTCATGGCAAACTGAGACGGGTACTTCCTATACATAAAAGAGAAGCAAACTTGTGAATTGCCACAGGCCGAAAAAACATTGGAACTTTTAAATGCATTTGTCGGAGTTATGAGGCGTCAAACCTATGAGGCATCGGACTTATGAGGCGTCGGTCTCATGAGGCATCGGACTTATGAGGCATCAGACCTATGAGGCGTCGGACTTATGGACTTTTTTAAACGCTTTTTCGGACTTATGAGCTGACTTCACTCACAATAAGCTTTTGCAAGTTAAATTTGAATAAAAATCTGGTACACTGAGTAATGATTGCACATAAACTTATCACTTTGCATTTCCCAGACTAAAGACACTGTTGCTACGCTACATGTGTACCTCATGAGCAAGCTTTTGCATTACGACCACCATCTCTGGGATGGACTGGTTCCTTATTGCCCTTCTTATCCATTGAAAACAGTGTACTGGTGCAAGGCGTCTCTTGTTTACAAAACTTATCAACCTTATTTACATTACCTAGGAAAACCACAGGTAAGAAAAAGCTGCCCCAAATCAGAGGCACAGCGACAGTCTTTAGTATTGCGAATTCAAATTGCTATGTTCACTTGAATTTAAAGAACTCAGTGTATCAGATTTTATTCAAATTTAACTCACAAAAGGCTTATTTATTCTGTTTAACAGTACAGCTCTGCCCTGTACACTGATCAGGAGTCAACTGTTTACCTTAAATAAAAACAGCATGACACAGAAGACACTAGGCCTGATAAGCTAGATAGTGCACTCTGAGTGCTAGGTCTTTTGAAAATGAGACAGACCCCAAGTCTCTAAAGAAGCCCCACTCAAAATTTGAGTCCTTTTGCAAATACTGGTCATTACCGGTATTTGAACATTTACTACATGCCAGTATCAGTGTCCAACACTGAAAATGTTTCAGAGTTTGCCATCCTGGAGCCTATGGGAATCCTCACTAAATAGTCAATGCACTGTATCTTTATATGGATCCCCAGGCATGTGTCCAAACTCCTGATGGGGAAACTAAATCTTTAAAGTGACAACTGGGTTTCTATAAGGCGATGCAGCTGCCCCACATCAGTTTGTTTTTGCGTTAGACTGTTCTGCGCCAAGCCTTCTGTAACCCCACACAAGGTTTTCAAATCCATGCATGGAAGTCCTCTAGACAGCCCACTATTTGGATTACTGATTTTGAATTTGCAGATGACATCGCCGTGGTCAGCAAAGATTTCGCATATGCTGAAGAAATGTTACTGGCCCTAGAGCGGGAAGCTTCTGCTGTTGGTCTCAAAATTAATGCAAAGAAGACCAAGTTTATGACTTGTAGCGAAGTTCATTCATGTTATCTCCCTCTTCAAGATGGCACTGCTGTTGAAGAAGGGCAAGACTACAAGTACTGATACCTAGGGGCTTGGATTCGCACTAGTTAATAAGGACCATTACTAGGAAAGCCTTGGCATTTAATGCTGGCAGAAAACTCAGTAGTATCTGGAAGTCCCCTTTCCCTTTAACTTCACTTGAGGCTTTTTAGAGCAGCAGTTAAACCTGAATTGCTATACAGTTGCAAAACATGGGCCCTGAACCAAGAAATGTTGGACAGACTTGACTGGGTGTTTTGCATGTCTGCTTGGCACTGCTCATAACATGAACTGGAGTGCTAGAGTCCACAACACCCAATTATGAGGATGGGGCTTAGTTCCACCAGTCAGCTGCATTATTGCCAAGGGGTCATTGAAGTTCGCTGGCCATGCTCTCCAAGCCATTGAGCAGCCATTGTCAGACCTCATTCTGTGGGAACCAAATCCAAATTCTGCAAAGTTGTTGTATACTTTGCAACTGTACGGGTGCAACAAAGCGCGAGTTGTGGGGTCTCATTTCTGATCGACAGCAATGGCAGTGCATCTGGGGCATGTACGACCGGAAGAAAACTTCCAGATGACATGATCAATGATGATGATGATGACACTGATCAGTTACTTAAAATGTTTACTTAAAAATAGCATGACACAGAAGACACTAGGCCTGATAAACTAGAAAGTGCAGTCTGAGTGCTAGGTCTTTTGATAATGAGTCGGAAGCCAACTATCCAAAGAAGCCCCACTCAAAATCCGAGTCCTTTTGCAAATACCAGTGTCCAACAAGGTCCATCAAAACAGTCAATTGACACAGTTCTGGTTCTTCAGGTTGATTCCTACAACACCTCATATTTAGGTAAACTTAGGAACTCAACACAAGAGTTGATAACCACAGTACACTGAAGGCTTTGCATTAACCATGCCCACTTGAAGAGGCAAAGTGGGTTGACAATTACATGTACATATATCCATGCATGGGAAAAACTCACATATTCCTTGACATTTCTTGTCTTGACTGCTTTGTAAGAAGCATAGGCTGGATAGAGGGTCCCAAACACCAACCTGAAATAAAGTCAAAGAAATTTTGACAACTTCAACAAAATTTCTGTACAGAATTTTTTAAAATTTGTTATACATGTATACAACAGATGCACACCAATTCCAAACATTAAGTATCACAAAAGACAGAAGTAAGACACAGTTTTTAAAACACCAACATGTACGTACTAGTACATGTACATATATGCCATTTAGCAAAGTTTTGCTCATCACATTCAAAGCCAGCCACACCAAATCTTTATCAGGTACAGAAACAATTTACCAGCAAAATGTATCTTTTTACCCTTAAATGCAATAAGGAAGCACTTAAAATGCTGTTTAAGCACCAGCTTTTGAATTGAATGCAAAAAGTTGCTGTCTAATTCTATCTTAGTGCAGATGGATTTGCCTTTGTGTATAATAACACAGTATCAGTACTGAGCAAAACCTGGTGGCAAGGCGGTAAACTAAATGTGACCACTGAGTAGAATTGTGTATGCCTTTCATCTGACTTGCAGATCTCAGCTCTTTCATTATAAACTCAAGTCTGCCTGTCAACGAGATACTATAATGACATTATATCTGCTATTCTATTCACCGACCATTTCCTCTATGCATTCATCTCACATCTTCATTTTCTTCATCTGCAGATGTAATCTACTGAGGATATACACATACTGTACTCATCCTTATGGAACCCTTCTCAATGTCAGAAATGAAAATCTTAAAAACACTTATACATGTAGGTACATGTATACCCTATGGAATGTTTTCACATAAAAGGTGATATACTGACCAATGTACTTGTACTTTTCATTTTAGTCTCATTGAAGAGCACCTGAGGAAAACATGTTTTCTCTGATTTTATCAGTTCAAATTAATATTGAAGCATCCACGCAGTGTCATTTGTCTTCAGAGCTCAACTATAACAAGTTTAAAAGGTTTTTTTTTCTGTTAATGCCAAGATGAGAATTCCGACTGTAGACTGCGTTATTGAGGAGATAACAGAAAAAATGAGGGGAACCCTCGCCCTGTGTTCATAGTGCATAAACCCTTGTGTATACCGAACAATCCATGTAGCCATTGTTTGGCAGGCTTCCACATTTATTTGGATTTGGATGCTTCAATATTTATTTGAACAGATAAAATCAGAGAAAACATGTTTTCCTTAGAGGTGTTCTTTAAATTCTAATGTCCCACAGACTGCATCAATGTTCTCCCCAAATTTTGCATGTTTATAACCAGTTTGTGGGAAACTTGCATTGTCTACATGTAAATTACCAGTACAGGTACATGTGCCAGTAATTAAAATACAAGTGCACAGCAATGTTACAATGAATGTTTGAATGAATTTATGCCTTTCATAGTTCACCCTGCCTGCTGTAGTAGTATCACACCCAGAGATTTTTAGTTTTACAAAAATGACAGCTACTTGTACATAGCAGCTTAGTAAGATCTCTGATTGTGTTGAATAAAAAAAAGATTTATCGTAAAGGTTTTAAAGCTGAATGTGACCTGATATACAACTTCAAATCTGAGGAAACAATTTGCTGCTGAAGCCAGGGACTTCCGTGCCTTCCTATAGCAGCCCTGGAGAATGCTGATAACAGGGTCAGGCTTAAGATAAGCAGGACACTTTACATAATGTCCCCCTCTACAATCAAGTATCTTTCTAGAAAGTTTCCAAGGTCTTAAGTTCCACTGATAGCCTTTTTTCTCAGTAGCTACAGGTAGGAATGCCAGGATACAGGAATTATCCAAAGCTTTGGTTCCTCCCTTGATATCATTACTGTAATCCCCACAGGTCTGTCCTGCCCAGAAACAAACCAGATGTCAGAAATGAACAGTTCCTGAATTGCCCGTGCTCAGTTTTCATTGATCAGATTAATTATGACCCTTAAACTGTTGCAGATGTTCCATTTGATCATGTGGAGGTGGAGGCAAACGTAACATGGCACAACTGGTATACATTGTATATGTGACACATTGTTCAGACTGTACCATCTGACAGTAGAACTTCAGTATCAAACTCACGAGCAATGCAGCTCAAAGCAAAAACTAACCCTTCGTGTAATAAAGCATGGGATAAGAATGGTGGGAAACATTTGTCACTGCTGTTAAGATACCAGTACCTGTATTTAACCATTTCAAGAAAATCAGGAAAATCTTCCTAACACAAAATTCAGAGCCCTAATCCAAAAAGAACACAATGTGATCTAATGTACTGGTAGCATCACACAGTACAACTGATGAATGGCCCTATGTGTAGGTCCCACACTGACATGTCCAGGGAAACACTTACTGCAGCACATAAACCTGAGGTGCTGTCCATTTAGCAAGTCAACAAATATGACAACCGCATGCAAATTTATGCATAAACATGAATTTATGCAAGTATACATGTGAAAAGGTACAAAATTTGGTGAAGAAGCTTGACATTAATGCAAGGTTTACGGATTCCATTTTCATTTCCTGTCCTGGACAGTACTTTTCAAGAAAATGTACCCAACACTGTACAGTATGGGTCAAACTAAAAGAGTAAAAGCCATAACCTTGTACAGTGTACATGTACATGTATCTTATGTTGAGTGACTATGATTCCTTTGAATATTTGCTTGATAAATTTATGACCTCTAAACCTGCTTGTAATGTACTGTAATCTTTCCTGCTGATTACACTGACAAGGACAGGTTTATTTTCTGCTATATGGAAGCCATCCTGACTGTAAAAAAATTCCAAGGCATAAACAAAACCCTCTGGAGCAGAGTTCATAACCGATTTTCTTCCATCCTGCATCTGGGAGCTTGTGCAACCAACATCAGGCTTGTCTTTCAGAGAGCAACTTGCCCCTTACTGATCCGGGGCGAACAGCCTGGTAATGGCCTTTCAGTCGAAAATCTGTCACCAAACAGTAACCTCTGCTTTACCCCTAAAGAGTTTCAGTTTTGGATGAACTAAAGCTGTACAACTACACTGTCATACATGTATTGCTGTAGCATCATTGTGCAATTTAATTGAATATTTTTTGAAAATTAATACCAGTACCTTTTTTTTTGCAAATTTCATCAAATTAAAGATTCTAAAAAGAATGATCTTAACTACCTGACATTCATACCACTTGTACTGTGAGCAAAAAACTGGAAACCCCAGGTGTCATCCGTGTATAAACCAATGTGCCAACTTGTCAAAAATTCAATTTACTTGATCAACTGACTAATCGATCCACTTCTGGTGGGTTGACCTGTTGATTGATCAATCAGTGAATCAATCCATTTTGTCAAACCTTTGTCTTGAATACTGTCTGTTTATTGGCCCAGAACGATCACATAACGGTGACATATCCGCATATGACACTCACCGTGAGATACGTGTATCTCTCACTCCTCTCTGTTAGTAAGTTTTGCATGGTACCCATGATATATTTTTTGCATAGGCTACCAGGGAATTCAATCAATGATCACAGACTTATTCCCGTCCCCACAACGTATAAGGTAAGGCGGGACCGCTAACCAAACTACATGTATACACTGGTACCGGCACTAGTTTCACATTAAAGATTACGCAATTAAAGTGAGGGAACAGTGCATTTGCAGACGATATCGTTAACATCTGTGTATAGGTTAATTGTACAGTTTGACAATAGGCCTGTCATCTTCTGAAATTCAGGTCTTGTTTCTTTGGATAAATTCCTTAAGACAGAGGTATTACCAAACAATTTTGACCACTTTGGTATGGGATATGACATTCTAAACACCCTCGGGCACGCACAGCGTCCTCCGCTTCGCCTTGGGGCACTATGCATCCCCAGGGGGGTTCAAAACGTCATATCCTACACCACAGCAGTCAAGAATTGTTACATATTTAAACACTTAATCTTAAACAAGAACATTACACATGCATCCTTTGGGTCAAGAAAATGAATGCCCTTTGTTAATGGGAGACTTTGAAATGCTTGGTGGCAGCAAACATACACTTGTAATGGTCCTTTTTACCAGTTCTGAGCATGCGCATGTAGTTCTGAGCATGCGCAATACTGTAAAACAAAAACAGTACGTCTGCTGCCACCAGCATCTCCAAGTCTTCCATAGCACACATTCCAATACAAACAATGTCCAAAACAATATGGAACTCAAATGGAAAAATAATGTCAGAAAAATGTAGTCATTTGTACGGCAAAGGTCAGACGTGTTTAAATGTCATATATTCAAAGGTCAACCATTATTGAAACATTCATGCCAAGCATTCGTTGATCCTCAGTCCTGACAGCTAAGAAGCAATTGATTACAGCATAGTCATTACAAAATCCCCTGGATGCCAATAATCTCAAATATTTCAGCAACATCACATGATGTTTACTTTATACACCCATGGAATTCATATCGCAGAACTTAATACTTGATAATATATGTCTACAACATCACTACACATCTGAAAAACACCAGCATACAGAACACAACTACTTTAAGTACTACATTTATGCATGCTTTCAACTCAGATGTAATGCATTCCTTTAGGAAAGTTCTTTGGGGCAAGTGCTCCTGTGACAGGAGTCAACAAGGTACCTTGATATGTCAGAATTCAGGGAAGTTGTTCAAACTGCTTAGTTCATGTGAACTGGAATTGGGGCTAGCAATTAGGGATGACACATTCACTGCATCCTGGCGGCACGTCAGAAATTTCAGAATAACATGTCACTCACAACTATAAAATGTACATCTCAAATCATTGATTTCTACAAGGACTTCATCCTGTATGTTATTAACATAAACATACAGTGTACATGTTATCAAAGCACAAACAATAAGAAATACAACCAAGAACCAACAGTGTAGCAGTAGTCAGGCAGCCCTTGCGAATGGCAGTACATGATTTAATTAAACATAATAAAGTACAGTATACAACATTTTATTGCAAGATCAATTCCTACATCCACACCGTACATGTACCTACAGGTACATGTACATGTAGACAGTATTTTCATTAACAGTGAAAGGTTGGGCTTTACAGGTCTTTACAGGCTTTACATTCCTCACAAAAACTACAAATCATTTCCTGTACTGATCACTTCATTCTTTGTAGTTTACACAAAAGCCCTGGCATGTACATGTACCATTGCTGAAAGAATTAAAAGTGCATGAACATATAAAAGTACACGTATGTGTAAGCTACAGGTACATATACATGTGTATGCATCTATCCTGTGTTTGATTTAAAAATCTGGGTGAACATTTTGATCTTTTCTTTGCTTCTCATTACCATGTTCAATTTTCTAGATTTAGATGTCAAAAACTTTCTATCTGCATGGTATATACCCACGTACTTGCACAATGCAAATGTAGCTGTGGTGGTTTAATTTGACCTTCACAACAACTGACCCCAACACCAAGCAAACAACAATAATGCCCACGCATTTCCACCCACTGTAAACTGAAAGGAACCTTTATTCTATTACTGTGCCCCCCCCACAGACAGGTGCAGCACCATTATTTTGCTACGCACATTTCACAGCATCAGGTGTGCAGAAAAGCAATTTTATTCAAAAACCAGACAACTGTCCATGCGAGAAAAGGACAATCAGCTAAATGAACAGTATTTAGTACCATCCTGAATGTTTGAAACTGTGCGAAAGAACAATTCTCTGGTGCTATCAAATGCCCTGTTTTTATTACCTGTAGTTTGTCCTTGCTTTATATGGTTATGTGTCAGAATTACACTGTAGGTCCCAGGTATGCAACTGTTGATGTCAGGAAAGAGTTCCAAATATGGGACCAGACATAGTTTCATCTATGCTTGCAAATGACCTGCCATTTCCAAGCAAAGGTTTGAAACTGCTGTCCAGTCCCAAAGAATTTCGTAAAATGAAAACCCTCGTTGCTCTTTGAGTCCATATTTCCACTGTGCCAAATGTTGTGAAGGAAATATGAACATTTATAGTCATGGTTCAAGATAAATGAAACAAATAAGGGATTGTGAATTTCTCTTTAGCAAAAACTGCTTGCCCAAAATTATCTTTGCCTGTACTCAGGACAGGTGGACAGGCGGCTAGATGAAACATTGGGACCAGATGCACGTAAACAACTTTGCAAATTACTTGGTAACTTCTAAAAAAATGAAAGAGAGACGCTTCCAAAGGTTCTCATGGAAAACTTTTGACCATAAGAACAAGGCTAAAAAGGAATGGAAAGGTGGATTTTCAAGTACATGTATTTTTGTATGTGTATTTCAGTGCACAGCAGGTGATGCTGAATGCTACACGTACCTGTACACCAACACATCATATCTACCAATACCATGGCTGGCTCAATGCAAAGAAAAAATTCCTACCGTACTTTTTAAAATTTCTGACAGGTACATGTATATCTTTAAATTAACCTTTTTTAATTTGACCTTTCATCAAGCTTGGTTTGGTTTCTCACTTCAGCTAAACGTCTGGTACCAAATGTCTATGATTATCTAATAACCAATAAGATTTTCTCCACAGTCGTACCACCAGATGCAGCAACTGCCCCTGTGGTACATGTAAAAAACTCCAAAATTTTGAATCAGTGGTGAGCTTTGACAGTATTTTCATTTTCTTTTTCGTTTTTCAAATTTAAGGTTACAACTTGTTTCATTTTCAACATATTTCTGACTGCATAATGAATGAAGATTCTCCATGTACTTCCATGACTGCAAAGGCTTATGTACATGTACAGTGCCTGATATGATGATACATTTTCAAGTGAAAACTAGTACTACCTGTATATCAGAGAGTTTATCAGACTGGCTTAATTTATTCACAAGACAGTCAAGACCTCAAACAGTATACACATGCATCTCCTTTGTTGGTTTTTGAGAAACAACTGATGTACACATTTTCACAAACAGGAAATTTTGTATACCAGTGTAACAGCCTCATTTTTCCGCTGTGCTCAGATTTCTGGAAGAATGCACCAGATACATGTAAATGAACACATTGCCACAAGGTGCCCACTCATCCGGTGTGCTGTTTTTTCCACTCACACATGTACCCTTGGGGTCTGGTGGTGCATTTGAAGCAGTCCAGGGGTAAATACAAGGGATCGCATACACAAAGGAGACTGTATGGAAGGGTTGTTTGATCCACATATTCTACACATCACAGCCACACCACGGGCTGTATTTTTCTGTATTTCCTGTAAACGCAATGCATGCTAAATTACTTTGACAGAATGGCCACAAAAGAGCAGGCACTTTTACAAATTACATTATTGAGCCAGATGATCACAAGTCAGTCTGCCCCTTGCCTGACTTTGGTCCTTGTCTGGGACCTAATGCTCCTCTCCGCTGATTCCGTTACCCCAGGAGGATATGACCCATTTCGCAGATACCGTTAGTTCTGCAGTATTGCCAAGTACATGTATCCTTCAAACCTGACACTATATAGACGCCATGCCTGTAATGAAATGTCCACAAAAACCACTTCAGTAGAGGCGCACGGACGTCCACACGAACTCCTACGTGCTGTGATTATATGATGTAGGAACTCAGCACAGCAATAAATTGAACCACTATGGGGTTACATGTACATCAAATGGGCCTGAAATTTCACTACTTACGTGCTATGAATATCTCCAACACTGTACCAAAAAGGTTTCAGTTACTTTTATCATGTTGCAGCACAAAAAGGTGGAAAACATGCAAATCCCTATATAAAGTGAATAAAGAGTGGCCCCTTTGCCCAGACATGAGTGCAATAAATGGAACGACCTCCAACCCCAAGACTAGGTCTAACCTACAGTACCTCTCACAATGCCACCATTAACAGGTCGGGGACCAAACCAAAATCTAGCGATGACACTAGACTATGCAAACACTGTTGGATTGTGCAACAATGACATAATTTTTGAGCTTCGGTAGCCTAAGCTGCCTGACCGCAAAAGGTGTTCGGCATTATGCCATTGGGTTTGAGCTTGAAAACATGCTTCGAAAAAATTTGATATATTGCTATTGTAGATATCAGACCGCCGATATATCAATATCGGCAATTATAATCGATGGAACTTACTTCCAGAAGTGTAAGGTTTACACAAACCTTACAGATGGTCATGTACAAACTCCCATAAACACATTTTTGCTTTGTTTATTGTGCCGACTTACTCTTCCATCACAGCTGTTTGTGCAACCAAATTTCATACAAGCCTTCTTAAAGTTCTTGGAAAAGTTAGTTGTCAGATGGGGAGGTTTATTCACCAAATGAAAGCTGAGCTGTGACTGGTCATTCCAACGGAAGCAAATTGGACCAATCACAGCTCAGCTTTTATCTGTGGTGACAGGAAAACCAAAGGAAAAGATAGGAGCTCTGTTGCGATTGGTCAAGCTATCACACAGCCGACAGTTATTGAGAGTTCATGTTGCTGATTTTCTGTAATGTGGATGGGCAAAATGCCCAAGAGTTTCACCATTTTAATGAGGATATATGGTGAATGAACTTCCTCATCTGACATCTAACTTCACGAAAAAGGCATGTATGAAATACAAACCCACGAGATAGCCATGTACAAACTCCCGTAAACATATTTTTCCTTACCCGATTGCCCGGGTACAGCTGTCTGGATGCATCAACAATTACCAGAACGATGAGAACAGAATTATGTGTGTCCCTTTGAAATAAACTTGAGGAGGATGAGAAATAAACTTGAAGAGGATGAGAAATAACCCTGATGCTAGTCCAACCGTATGCATTAATTCACCATAATGGACAACGCAGGTGACATTAATTTAATGCCGTAGAGTTTTCTATAATAACTACATGTCGTTTGTGGAACTCCTCGACCAGTTTTTGAAGAGACTTGTAACACACTCAAAATGGATGGCAAAGTGGAAATGGGGCGAGTGGGGATGGGGCGAGGTGGAGATGGGACGATGTTGGGATGGGGCGACATGGAAATGGGGCGAATGTAAACCTTTTCATCATACTTTACACCCAAAACTTGATGTAAACAGACATAATAAATGGTACTAACACAAATTTCAGTTCTTTTACAACACCACTGCTTTTTAAAATGTAGAATTTGATGTACAAAAAGGGCTGAAATCATTGATTGAAAACAAATACTTTTACACGCTTTCAGATATAAAATTTTGAGGTGCCATTTCACTGGACTCCCTACTCCATGGTCATGGTAGAAGCAGCCAGAACATACGGTAACGATACTCCCAGAACTGTGAGGCACACTCAGTTCTGAAAGTACATGTAGGCCTAACACTAGCCTCACGAGTGTGGCACAGACTCTCACTCCCACTCCATCCTTAGCCACACATCCGTATACGCAATTTGCGTGTGGAGTGAGAGTCTGTGCCACACTAGTGGGGCTAGCCTAACGTGGGGCTAGCCTAACATTAGGCTTGGAGTCGGACAATGGTACTACATGTACAATGTAGTTTACCGTTCCTGTTTTAGCCTGCGTCGAAATTTCACACAATCATCAATGTTTTGTACGGGAGGCTACATCATGTACAATCTACACATAGGCCTAGGCCCTACTTACACAACCAAGCGAGATATCAGATAGGAAACCATTCTTGGAGACTGCAGTGCCAGGCAAGGGTTTATTTAAATGTCCTCTTCAAGAGAAAAGCAGCATTAAGAGCCGATTGCATGGGCAAACTTTTTCAAATCAAAGCAGTTAACTGAACATCGCTACAATATCAGCTGAGATCCGCAGCCATCTTCAAACTTCTGACCGTTAACGCTACGCTGTCTCTAGTTCTGTACCGTGCGTTCAGAAGTATGTGTGTGTTTCACGTCGTTATTTTGATCAAAGATTGTATAGCGCCGCGCTAGACAATCTTTGATTTTGATTGCGTGCTCGCGTCCGGTACGTACGGAAGCGTATTGCTACCAACGCGAAAAAAATATTTTGGCTCTTGTAAACGACACTGTTACCTTTTTTAAACGAGATATCTACATGTATGTCGTTTAGATGTGATAGCTGTGTCGTTTAAACGAGACAACTGTGTCGTTTAAACAAGCTAACTATGTATAACTATGTCGTTTCAACGAGATTATAAGTCGTTTAAACGAGATAAAATATTTTTGCATTGGCAGCATAACGCTTCCGTAGGTATGCAACTCATACTTTACTCCAGTAGCCGACTCCGGACAATCGTGCTGGATAGCGCCACCAACTGTCACACTTTCCCATTCTAATAAAACTTCGTCAAAAGAGGGCATAGTTTTATCACCCTAGAGACGTACGGACCGCGGACATACGTGATTACAGGAACCCGCAGATAAAAACCAAGATTTGTAGAATCTGGGAAAAACTTTTATGAAAGTTTAAAGGGATTTTACGCACGTGTAAAGTCAGGTTTGACTTTATGGCTAAACGAACTTCCCAGACCAAAAGGAAATTTCACCGACACAAACAGCCTCTTTTTTTGGGGGGGGGACTTCATGCTTTGTTGTTGTTGTTGTTGTTGCTTTTCGTTTTAGAAAACTTGTTTAAACAACTCGGTATGTTTTCACTGAAGATGAGAAATGGCTAAGCAAATTGTCCCAAACGCATACTTCATACCAGCAGGAATTACTTCAGTGAGTGGTATGTGCGCAACTATGATTTTGCTGAAGCGTTAAAGTAAAGGGGCACAACAAAAACTGTTTTAATGTCACTGCTACTGGAATATGTAGTCTGCCCAAACGCTCCTACTCCCCTTCTATTCTCTTGATGCCTAGGGGAAGAAGTACGAATGTTTATTAATTCATTAGTTATTTATTCAGCTACATCTATCATATAAAAACAATATGGTAGAAATTGTGTTGGTTCCGTTCACAAAAAACATTAAGAACAACAACGTAAAGGCAGTTAAGATTATACCGAGTACGTTAAACATTAAGCTAAAAAAGCGTAAACAAAAAAATTAATCATTTGGCACAGAAAAGCTAACAAAAAAAGACAACCCCCAACCCCCCAAAACAAAAACAATTAATTAACAAAAAATTATCCGCAGGGATGGAATCACAATGTCCTCGATACGCTAATGCTTATAGCTGAGCAACATGTATAATGTTAAAACGCGTGCATTTACATTCTTTAACTGTAGTTGGTGTTATTTATTACTTGAGTCTGGAGGGCTGCAACCTGTATGAGAGCTGTCGGATAGGTCCAGTAGTTTGAAAGAAAAAAATGTTAAAATACCTTTCAACTGGAAAATGCAAACTGTCGATTCACTGTGGATCCTGTGGAAACTAAAGACAATTTATCATTTTCTCCGCTTTAACTTAAGAAGTTCAAAATGTAACAGCATGTACATGTGAAAAAATGCTTTGAAATTGAATAAAAAAGAAACACTGGACACAATAAGCCGAGCGAAAGTGGGAGTGATAATAGATGCACGTTGTCGTCTGCATGCCTTGGTGCCGTATTGCATTTTATTTTGTCCACGGAGGTTAACGGCACTGAATGTTCACACACGTACAGTGTACATGTACATGTACACTGCACGTACATTACATGTACATGTACATAAATGCACACGTTAGGTGAAGTGCATGTCTGTTAGGGACCGTCTTTGTAACTTCCCCTAAAGGCCAATCCTTTTGTGACGGGTGAAATATTCAAATGCCGTTTATGTTTGTTGGAATCAATTTATGTACAGGACAAGAAGACATGCAAGAAGATTCAATCGGCTTCCTTCTGACCAAACCAAGAGGCAATCGCAGAAATAAATGAAAAACACAATACTCATAAAACGCAAAACACGGTAATAATTAGGTTGGCTATGGCGTTCGGACGCACTTTTTGCAAACCAATGGCTTTCACTGCATTTATATTCATGATGAGTTTTAGGGACAAAAGAACTCACAAATCCAGACAGGAATTAACGAGAAACAAGTGAAACATAAACCAAAAGACTAAACCAAGGAAGTCATATTCTTTAGCATTATTTAGTAACAAGTACACTATCAACATCTACAAAAGAAATGTTGTTGTATTGCAAAATTATTCACAATAAGAGTACCCTGTAATCAAGGCATACTAAAGCTGTTTCTCAACAGACAGATTTTTCTTTATTGTCTGTTTTAAAGTTGGATTCCTTAGCTTGCTTAAAATACTAAGTGTGGAAATTATTTTCGAAGCTACCAATGGCATTAAATAATGTCGCTTGAAAGTTAAAAAAAAATGTTTCACTGGCTTGGAAAATGAAGGAGGCCGAGTAAACCCGAAATCTTACACATTTTCAAGCAGTTAAGTGGGTTAATACGATGTTTCGTGTGAAATGTTTCACCCACTTCAAAATGTTCACTTAATGTCACAATGTTTCTTGTGGCCGGATGATTTGTGATTGTCAGTCAAATGGCAATGACAAAACCGAAACGAACAATGACAACAAGGGCGAAGGGGGCGACGACTCCCGACGTGCGAATTCAGACCTCATCACCCTGGAGATCCTCCAAGGGGCGAGGGTTATAGTTGCTTGCACGCGTTCATCTCGGCTGTTGTTTCAAACCAAGAGGCAATCGCTGAAGTAAATACTAGAGCTTAGAGAAATTACATTTATTGGCGCACCCAGGGTGTCCAAAATTTTCTAGTTCTAGTTTGAAAAGGAAGATACGACATGCATCTACATGTTAAACCAGTAGATCTGATATAGCTAAGGCACCACGAGCTATTCTTAGGGTAAATTCCAGTCAAAGCCCCCCACGACAAATCCTTGGTGAACCTCCGCGTTGAAGTTGTTCAGGATCAAGGATGAACGGATAGAACCAGAATTCAAAGTGCTAGCAGTGGAAGGAGATCTGCCCGCGAAGAGTCAAATTCTTAATAACCTTTTGAGAGTTGAGTCAATTTCATAAGCATTTCCTTGTATCAAACAATTGTCACAATTTCCAGTGCATTATAGGTAAAAGTGTTTAATTCTGTTTACACGCTCCGATCGACATTTATTAACAGGAAGAAAATGCGATTTCTTTTGACTGGACGAACGACCTGCAGGCGGAGGAACCGTTTCCCACATTTACTGTACACGGAGAACCTTTCGCGTAATTGTCTGTCGCAGGAGCACCAAAAAAGCTCTTTCCACGTGGAAAACGTATCGATCCATTTCAGCAGGAAACTTAGAAAATCATGTGTGTATGTCACATGTCAGTATCCAAACGTACTTGCTAGACGAATGAAATGATAATCTGACATGATGACATCATCAAGCGCGCAAAACTTGAATCGACAATGTACTACTTTCCTCGACAGAACAGGGAGCTTTTCAAAACAGAAGTTTGTGCACCTTCACCTTTTGACCTCTGTAGGGCCAAATCTCATTGAGTTAATATTCATGCGCACTACTACTACATGGAAACTCCTGCAGGCATCCTGCGCTTGTTGAGCACTGTCTGTAACGAGATTACCCCCAGAATTTCGCCGATTTTCGCCATTTTTGCTCAGAAATGTGAGGTGACCACTGCAGCATGGGAATAGAGTATCGCGAGGAACTTGTTGGCAAGCGATTCCTCTGCGTCAACGGCCCGGGCAAGTTAAAATTGGGCAAAATTTCCGAGTGGTGTTGGCGAGCTGGAGTGATACGCGCCGTTCTGGATAACGGTAACACGGATGCCAGTAATGAAGAATGCACGGTAAGTGGGGAATCGCACACGTTCGACGTTTAACCCTTGTCTTTGTTGCTTAAAATCTCACTGTCTCCCCTCGAGTGTACCATGACAGCCCGTCAGAAATATACTGCAATCAATTTACATCACTTTTGTTAAAATGTTTTGGTGATTTTTCACTGCAGTCGTAGTTTTTTTGGCTGATCATTAAAAGGGACGAAGAGCCGGACTTGCCGGCTTTCTCAGGTTTTTGCGGCATCCACGCGGCGCTGCGGCCTGCATGCCATCTCGGCGTGTGGCCGTTGTGGTCATTATGACCGTGATCAGTGATTTGACTGGACCTCAGATATGTCAGAAACGAAGTAAATTGGTATTCCTTTCATTGACGTGAAAAAAATGTCCAGTATTCTTTAGTACAGACTTGCCTGAACTATACTGATAATTTATGTACCTGATGGTCTTATGTTAATCATTTTTGTACCCATTAAAAAAATTCTGTTTAAATTGAGTGGTGGAATAAAACTTAAACAATGGCACATTTCTAAATTTCTCTTTCTGGGAAAGAGTTCCATACACGAGCATCACATATTTTTACCTGTAGTAGTATGTCAGCCATTAGAGAGCAGCAACGTCCCAGAGTCACGGTTGAGCAGGGAAAATATTGAAACGCTTTGCCTATACTGAGTAGAAAATACATGTTTTTACTTTTGGCTTTTTCAAATGAGTCTGATAGGGTTCGCGCGCAGGGTGTAAAGTGATGTCCATGTATGGAATATTCAAATTTTTTTAAAACTACATGTAGGCCGTATGAATGTGTGTTTATTTCCTTCAAGTCAGTATCAAACAGTCACGTGTCTCAAGATTTTTGTTTGATAATGGTATAAGGAAGATGCGGTTGCATGTGTATAGCATAGTTTTCTTCCTGTCACTGTTTTTAGTGGGAAAATCAAAGTAAAATCTGGCCTGCTGCCATTCACTAGGTTAGAGGGAAGTGGTGATCACTTTAAATTTCCAGTGATAAATACAAGACCACCATTTCAACCCATCCTCAAAAGTGCAGTGCACTTTTGAAGTAACAAACTTTACAATATAACTGTGATGAGCCTCAGTGGCATTTTGTTGAATTACCCCCTTTACATGACAGGGCTTTGTCAACTTGTATTAATTTGAGATAATGGGATCTTGACGACAGTATGTCTGTATTTTTTATTTCAAATTGTTGATAAGGTGTGCTCACAATTTTTTACTTGATCTCTGCACATGTTTTGAATGGAAACTTTCTGGCATTGCTTTAGTTGGTTTTAGTCTGTGCAACATTTTTGATGAACTCATCAAAAGTGTTACACAGACTGAAACATGCTTCAGTTCTCTTTGTTACAACAGTAAACCATATTTGTCTTATTACATGGCAGTGACCAGAGGGATATCTTGCTCCTCTTATGAGGAGCCCAGTAGTCTGCTGGCCCTGAAAGTAAATTGCTAGCTGTTACTTCAGGGTCTGTCACGTGCACAGTAGGGACGCTTTTCAGACAGTAATGAAATCTGCCAACAATGTCCGACCATTCTTGGCAGTTGGTACTAGGGACAGTAGGGTTAGGGTGAGGTACAAGTACATGTATACATGTTGATAATCAAAATGTTTTTTGTATCAGTTCAGGGGAATAGATGGGATTTATGGCTTGCCAGTACAGCATCAAATTACCCTGTCAGAATGAAAGAAAATAGTAAATATACATGTACCTGTGATTTTGAAATGTTCAACATGTTTAACACTGTAAGAAAACAAATAATTTAAGGGTGGCAAAACATGTTCTTTCAAAGATTACCATCTAACTCCGAAGACTAATGGCTTTTCAGTTGCAAAGGAAAACCACAGATTGGATGACACAGTTGATATTGACAATTTAATCATTGGCCAGAGTCATTTATTATACAAAAAGAGACTACTGTCTTATAATGTGCAGGAAACAGCTGTGAGCATCATTTGACCACGTAAAAAAAAAATTCTGCAAAGCTCTAAATCTGGTGTTGCTTTTCACCGCAATCAGTTGTCAGCTGAGTTTCACGCTTAAAATGTGTTGCATGTAGTGCATGAATACTGAAGATTTGGAATTTAATCAAATCGAATGATTTGGTCCATGTTTGTATGTGTATGCACCTGATGTACATTCTTCACATGGACACTGAAAGAACCATATCATACAGCATCTATACATGAATCCATTTTTCTCAAAACAGGATCGCATTTACATGAAACTCCCACCATGTTTATTTAAATTTTGTGAAAGCCTCAACATGACAACAGGATACACACGCCAGCACATTGCGCATTGCCATGTTAATTTCCCATCCTTGGGAAGTCATGACAGGACAGAGGGATTAAAAATCCTATACACACAAGCTGTCCACAGCTAACAGAAGGGGAATTACAAGTGGCGCTAATGCAAGCTTGGGGAATTGACATGCTTTGTCCACCTTTTTCTGTTGAAACCTTCCTACATTCAGGCCCGGTTAATGCGCAGGTCAAAAGCGGTGGCTTTATTTTGCCATTTCTCCTGCTGCCGGCATTAAGGAACTGCTTTGCATCCAAAATGGTGGCCAATTGTCACCAGAGGGATTCTTGTGTCTGATGGTAGAAAGACAGAGGCCAGGCCAGCTTTGGTTTGTGTTTATCCATGCATGGGCAAGGCCTTTATTACCACAGCTGTATTGATTGGGTATTGAATAGGCAGTGGGTAGGCACCGCAGCAGTGCATTCAAGCCTGGCTGCCTGGCATACTTAGCTACAGTTTCTCAGTACAGAAGGTCACAGACAAAAATGGAGACAGTGCTTGGATTTCAGCCCATCACAGCAGGGAAAGCTATCCCACTTATGCTCTGTTTTCTTAATTTAATTCTGGGCCAACTGCCATCTCCATGTATTCAGCTATGGCTGAACAGTACAACTTCATGTACATGTACCGGTACATACACACATACCGGTACACGTACGTAGTAATTGTGTGAACATAACACACCCATGCACAGCTATGCTTTGGATCAACATAGTATAATTGTTTCATTTAATTTTGGGGGAATTAAGATAGAGTTGGAGGACAAGAGCTTTGGATCAGTATCACCAAGATACGCTGAAGTAAACCTTTATTGCATTCATTTTAATACTTAACTGAATTAAAATAACAGACAGCCTCCAAGGTACCAGCAATGCATCTCTCTATTTCAGTTACATTTTTGATTTAGACAGTGATTATGAAAGGGATTTGCCAATGGCTGACTGAAATTTGCACCTTCTCGTTATGGTTGACTTGTGGGATGTGTGAATGAACCACGAAAAGAAGAGAAAGGGATCACTGCTTTTTGTCAAAAGTTCTCATGCTGGGACAGAGTTAGGTCATCGGATTGTAGACTTGATGCAGGATGTAGCAGTATTTCACACCAGTGAAAAACATCTCAGTGCCAGTCATAAAGGCCAAATGTGGACTGCTTCAATAATGGCAAATTAAACAAATAAGCAGCATGCTCTTTTTTTGCCTTGGCTACACTTGAATAGTTACACAACAGCTGATCAAACCTTATCTGTTGTTCACAATAAAAGAGATTAAAGTCTGCTTCATAAACCTAGTGGGATGTCCATGGTGATGTGTACCCACTCACCTGCACTATCGCAGGGACTGTCTCAGCAATCTGAATGTATACATACATATTTATACATGTGTGACCTGGTTTTTTTTACAGGGATGCATGAATCATCCATCTTTCTTTTCATACATTTTTCATACATGTATTTTGCTCCCATCTTTTTTTCATGAAAAAGAAATCTGGAGATTCCCGTTCATATTGTACAACGTAGGCCTACATCCACCCTCGTCTTTGTTATGTATGAGCCATGTTCTTTACTTGTTTAGCATCAAGCTCATACTGGGGTTTTACCCGTAGCTTGCTGTGGATTGAAGTTGCGAAGTTGTGTACATGTACATTGATCAGTCATTTGATGGAATATTTGTGTTTGCATCGTGGTCTGTGTGTATCATCACACATTCACAGACAAGTTGCATAAATGGAACTGCTTCCCTGTTTTTAAAATTGGATAGTCTGCCATATTTGACTACTTACATATTGTATGTACATATACATAAACAGTATAGGCCTATATGCGTACTTGGGCACATCTGTAAATAGTGGGTACATGTAATAGTGTTATGTACATGTGCATGCACACTATTCACTGGAACTATTGTGTTACTACCACTTTCATCCTGGCATGCTGACAATGCATTATTGATTGACCAGCAAGTATTGCAGCATTTAATTATTAATGGTGCATAATCAACACCTGGAAGTTATCAGTTACAATTTGGCTTGTACCAGGCACACAGGATGTTGATGAATCACTCTTGCCAAGTCAGAATGGAAAACTTGTATTCATATTGTTATTGATTTCCTCTTTTAGAGTTTCTCACATTTCGGCAGTTTCCCCTTTGAAGCAAGCATTTCCTGTGACATGACCACCATGTTACATAAACGTTGTAAGTGCCAGGCAGAATGCAATTGAGGGAGAAGTGTGTGGCACAAGAGGATAAATGTTGTTATCCTTGCTGCTGAGTTCAAGGCCAGTTCTTAATGCATTTTATAGACTTATCATTTCATTAGATGACATGGGCTGAAAATAAACACACAGGGCCAACTCAACAGCACCAGTAAGGTTACAGTTTCAGGGGACAAATTATTGTAGTAAATCTAAATAGCAATATGTTGCTGTCTTCAAGTTCTTAATTCAAATCAGAAATATTTGTCCCTATAAAAATGCTGTTAATTAAAAAAATCATTCTAATATAGGATGATACAATAAAGAGGCAAATGAAATTCATGACATGTATTTATCTTTGTCATATCAGTTGTAAGGGTAGGATGTACATGTAATAGGATGTCATTACAATGAACACTGCTTTACAGATCATACGGAAATGCCAAATATTCCCCTTGGTTCGGCAATTTTCCATAGATTTAGAACTGAGGATAAGGACTTG